ACAGAATCCATGTAGACTGATTTGTATTCATCTGTGGATATGTCCATACATCATATGTGTATGTACCCCCCAAATTGATCTATGAATTGTTGACCACCAGTGTGGCATATTTTATTAGATTATATTATAAAATATACTGCCATTGCATTACATGAGACTAGTATGGTCATTATGTTAAACGATGCACACACCTATAACCGTAACTTCACTTGCCCACACATGGCTCTATCTTATTTTAGGCCATTCGACAGATGGTGAGTTAATTAGGCCTTTGAAATATTAAGTGTAAATCTTTCATTATGCCATTATAATAATGGTACATATTTATATCAGTAACTGGCTTGAGTTTGTATCATATGTTGGGTGAATATTTTTAGTATCTTGACCTATTATGAGTGTGATTATCTATCATGTATTAGCATTGTTAATCACTTTTATTTGTGTTTTTTGCAACTATCACTAGGAATTACCTTTGTAAGGTCAAAAAGTATTTAAAAATAAATAAATTCTTTATATCTACAAGTTATTGTTGGATTTACAAATATATACCACCAAATAATGCCTGCATAATGCCAAATATGATCAACTAATAGATCATGCATATAGAGAAAACTAAAGAATCAACCAGGAGTTTCTCATTAAGAATAACCTATACTACCCATGGAAAAACGTCTATTGACAGTGCAGTAAAATAACCAAAAATTAAACAGCAACAGAACCAACAAAAGGTGAGAAGATGCCAACAAAAGGATCTTGTGAGGTGAAATACAAAGTCTGACGTATAGCCTGTCTCTATCATGCAAGAAATTGTCCTCATTGAAGTATAACAAGATAAAAAAAACAACAAGCTCATAAGTCACAAGTACCTTTTCTGTCTCGGCCAATGTCAACACAGTTAGCTGCTTCAGCTTACGAACTTGATCAGGGACTAGTGCTGGAAGGCTACCAGCATTACCTAAAATAAGGGCACATTACTCCAACTTAAATTGGGAATATTTTTTTTTATACAACATTGTGCATTATACAAAAGTACAACTATGATTAGCGTCAACCTTTTTTAACATGGAAATGATATTCAGGCAGAGAGCATAAATAGAGCTCTCATTAAGAACAGGACGACAAGTTGTCATGTGCTCAATACATCATAGATCCGAAATAAGTATATCTAAATTCAATATACCCACATGCTCACCTCAAGGTGATTAAAGCAACAATTCATCAATGTTATCAATTACAGTCCCCAAAAACAAAATGCAGCATGCATGTCAAGAAACTTGTACTGTTACATATGCCTAAGTATAATTAAACTGGATGCTATATCATAAATAAATAGGTTTCATACTATTTAATGACGTTTTCTTCAGAAATGATAACCACCTTGGAATAGTTACGCTCACAATGTCTTCATATCAACTATACATAGAGGGAATGTTTCTACACACAAGAAAGGACAAAAAAAGAAAAGATGATTTATGACATTCTCTAGGTTTGCATAGTAATTAAGCCCAACAAAATCATTTTGACGTGATACACTAATCCACCGTTAAGAGGAATTCCAAGAAGCCCTAAAAAATTAATGCAACACATTAAATCTGTCTGACGGGACGCCAAGCTAATGGCAAAACGCTTACATTTGTAGTCGCTCCATGTGCCGCAGGCGAACAAGCGAAGCACATACAAAGACGACGCATACTGCGTTCCCTTCAGCTGCACGGAAGATCAAACCAGTCTCAAGATTCAAAAGTAGTAGTAGTAGTAGTAGTAATAATAATAATAATAATAATAATAATAATAAATCGGGCATTGACTAGTTAGCGAAACCAAACTAGGGTTAGAGAAGGGACGGTGGGGGATCGAGGGATGTAACCTTCGCAAGGTCGGGGACAGAGAGGATCTCGGAGAAGGCAAAGAGCGAAGGATGAGCAGTGGCCTCAAGAATTAGGTCGGCGAGGGGAGCGGCTGCGTCCACTGCGGTCGCTCGCTTCACGAAGTGATCGATGAGCTCGGATTGCTTCCGCTCCATGTCCATCCTTCTCGTGCGGGAGATCGAAGGGGGACCGTGGGGTTAACCTACTAGGTTTTGTGTTCTTCGCTGCCCCGGTTTCGGCTCGGTTGCTGGGGTTTCTTTCGCCGATTCGATTGCCCTTTATGGTGTGGTGTGTCGGGTGCAACCATTCGATTTCCTGGTGATCGCGATGGTTACTTTTATATTTTTCCATAATAATATTTTCCTTTCAAATGCTGAATCAAATACAATGCATCTTTCCTCATTTTCCATTTGTCCTGATACCGGTGTCCAGACACTCGTCGTCCTGTAATACATAACACACAATACATGTGTTGATTTCATATAAAAATAATTGATATATATTTTTTTCACAAATTTACTGATAAAAAAATAATTTTATTATATTACATATAAAAAATAAAAATTTAAAATTATCTTTTTTTTTATCTAATATCACGTGCTATATTTTTCGTTAATATAACATTAAAATAAATATACCTATTTATTTTATTTTTAAAATTATAAAAATCTCAATATAAATTTTCTAAATACAAAACCACAATACTAATAGGAATAGGAATACAGAAGATAATATATAATTAACCCCCTCTTGCATACCGTAGAAGATATCTTAATAAAACTTGTCTAAATAAATAATCTCTTAAAAACATCCTTGTGTTGGAAAAAATACAAAAAAAGATTTGGTAGCAGTTTTAGATCAAGTTGGAGACCATCACGATGGCCATGGAGGATCTACATGTGATGCACACACAACTATGCTCAATGTCACTGCTGACCTTTTATCTCTAATCATTTCGATTCCAGAAAATGCACATAAACATACGTTGATATACACCAGAAAAGAGATGGCACACAGGAAACACTGAAAGCATATTATCAACATGTTAAAACTGAATCAGCACAATTCTATGGCTGCATTTCATGAGCACATACGTCGATTCCACAAATGCTTGATCAGAAAGTTCAACACCTCTTGTACTCGAGCCATCTTTGAGCACTACTCATCCTGGACTAGTGCATTTCATGAGAAGAATTGCTCTTGCCTCTGGCATTTGAGAACCATTGCCAAAATTCCTGGAGAAAGTCATCAACGTTTTGTCTGCATCATACAAAAAACATCTGTATATTGTTCCAAGTTTGTTTGTTTCCCTTGTTTCACAGTAAGTATAAACGCAGACCACGTCAGGCAATTAGCCCAAAAGGAGATTGGAGGGTCGAAAGTAACCCCACAAATATTTTTTAGCAGATATAAATAAGCTAGCGGCCATCTTTTCTGGACCTAAAATTTCCACCTCGCATCTTTGAGCTTTCCATCCATACCATGGTCTCTATCCATAACAAGGTTAATACCTTCATCTGAGTACCTACCAACACGAATAGCGATGCCATCTTCATTTACATTGACATCTCCAGTGAGGCCACCTGGAAAGCTAGAGAAGAGTCACATCTTGCATGTCGAGCACCTCCTCTTCCCCAAAGCAAACAGAGCTCTCTGGGAAGCTTCTTTGTTCAATGTCTCCCAGAAATCTCAATTTATATTGTCACATAGAAATTGGACTACCAATCCTCCAGTAAAAAATTAATTCAACAGTTAGTTTTCACAATATAATGGAAGCATATCAAGCATCCTAGAATAGGCATGCACCGAATGAACTAGGACATAATGTATCCTCCGAATGAGTAGGACAACAATTTCATCAATGCATTCTGGGCCAACACAGTTCATAATTGAACTCTATAATTTGGAGATTACCACTCTTAGGAGAAAAAGAATATAATAAGCATCAGAATTAGCATCTCCAAATTTCTGACATGCAAGATTTCCACTTAAAACAACAAACTATAAGCTTACTTGCCAACATTAGTATTAGCCAGGCAGACCACTGTACATCAGATACAACCCCCCTTTTACTAGACACTGAACAACAAAAGTTTACAGTATAAGTAATTCCATATTTTCGCTAACCCATCAAAGGAAAAATAAAATAAAATACTTGCTATTGAAGTCGAGGACTTCACAATGGAGTTCAAATATGTCATGTAGGAAAAACATAAACTTGCTAAAAAAAAAACCATTGCATTCAACATAAAAGTCGAGGGACTTTTTCATTCATCCCATCCATTATATCCACTATCCTTTTTTTTCTTCCAATTGCCAATATCACAACGTTTTTCTATTCAACTTGATGGATCTGATTGTGTTGTGACATGATGAGTCGATTCCATATTTTCAAGATCTACTTACATCACTCTCTATTCAACTTAAGATGATAAAAAAGATTCCATGACAATATCTTGAAACAAAAAAAATTCTCACGATGAGTGCGAGGAGAAGCTTACTCTGGGCGGTCACATGGTGCACCATTTTCTGCCAATGACCGAGCTCCGCATTGCAATTCAGTGAGTTGGGTCCTGTGAAAAACCCCACACTCTTCACAAATCATTGAACAGTTCGGACAGACGATAAAGATGCAGACCTTTCGCGAGTATACCAAGCGCCAGTGCAACAGCCTCCGTCAATATCATATAATATTCCCATCTTTTGATTTCCAATTCAACTAGATTTTGAAATTAATAAAAGCATCATAAATGAATCAACCTCATCCAGTTAATTAACTATCCAACCTGATTAGAAAATGTGATATAATTTTTTTCTGGGCTTTGCTAATACAATTGATCCAATATGAGTCAACATCCTCAACCAAGGAGAAACAAGATATTAAATTAAACCACAACCAGTGACATAACTAGGGAACCCAATGACTAAATGCAAATAACCAATGCTTTTGTTGATACCAACACCCCATCTTTTACATGTTCATTATGAACTTCATGTCATAAAGCAGTTGCTTCTCCGCATAGATGGAAAATAGAGTAGAGAAGCACCACAACATTTGAGCAGGATTCACAGTATCCAAGTTTTTCATGTCATCCACAGCAACATTTTATTCACATTGTAGGGCAAACACTATTGATCGGAACATAACATGTACTTGGATAATTACAATTACAAAGGGCAAGGTCAACAAAATTTACTGACTACCATTTTAGTCACAAACTTACAGGGGATAAGTCAAGCGGAAAAAAAAAGAAATAAATCCTTGATCAGTCTATCATGCACAAATACAAATAACCATCAGTAAATGGAAAAAAAAATACCGCTAAATTTTCAAACAGTGCATCCAAAAGAGGACCATGAATGCCTGTCACCACAAGGATGGTGGAGCTGCACAAACTAAATTTAGGAAAGAGAGAAACAATATGATACATCACTTGCTTTTGCAATCAAATCCAGATGCACAATCCACACAATACAATAGCATGTGCAGCTGTCAAAGCGAGTAATGAAAGCTTACAACTATACAATAAGCTTACAGTCTTCTGTTATCCATCCTTAAAACTGAAGATAATCAATCAAGAAAAAGAAAAGACGAAACCATTGGCCTCTAGAGGCAGGAATCATGAACAGAACCCATAAGAGCTTGGACTAAGCAGAGAATTTAGACTCAAGAGTGATACCAGAAAGAAGAAAAAAGATGCAGGTATGACAACAAGAAACACTTGGGCTACAGCAACTGTTGACAAGAATGACATAACTGCTCTATGGTTGACAGTAACAAATGAATTCCATCCAAAAAAATTGGAAGAAGCTAAATATCAAGCAAACCCAATAGTCTACTCTAGCATGATAAAACAGATTCAAAGCAGCAGGAAACAATGTTAAATAGAAAAAACTGATAAGCTAAGGTTTCTCCGCTACTGTATTCAGTGGATGAGGGATGGTTTCATCCATGGATCTAGGTATCTACTACTTACCACCCATCATGCCACCCAAAACCATGTATTGCTACACAACATGTACTAAACCTGTATCGATCTGGATGAGAACAGGTATGATTCCAGTAGTCGAAATTAATAGACTTAAGAAGGCGACAAGCTGGAGAAAGCTTCAGAATCAAAATCATTTGGCTGTCATTCTGTGATAACCAAAACACAAATTTCAAAAAAAGAAATAAATAAAAAATAAACAAAAACCATTCCAAGCCATTACCAGTCATTTGCACATTAATTCAGCTAACATCATAATTGTAAAGTTCCAGCACAAGGGACAATAGAATACAAAAATCCTGAAGATATGGTTCGCAATGAGGAAAACCATAAGTAACTTGTTCATCCTTACCAACATCTCCATCAACCCATCAAAACTTCAACCATTGCATAAGCTTCTCAAGAAGTGGTTTTTCAATGGAAAGATTAAATTATACAGTGCACCGAAATAAGACACCCCAGCCGAAGATACCAATTGAATGGTGACCATTTATTCTTGTCCTAAATAGTTATAACTTCACAAAGGTTATTCCTAAACAACTGCATTCTGCCAAAAGATACTCTCCAAAATACTTGCAAAATAATTCATTCCCATCTTCATCAACCATCAAAATTACTCAAGTTAGTCTATTAATGAGCCTTTCAGACTGTTCATCCCACTACCCAATAATGGCATTTCCCATTCACAGGACATTTCACTGTTAGCAGTTAAAACACATTATCTGAGAATCCCGTTTGGAACAATAGTAGAGTATAAAGAAATCAATACATCAAAAACATAAATTGTGATGTCGATCATCTTGTAAAATTTAGTAATTTACATAGATATTGATTAGGTTCTTAAATTTTAGAATCATTATTATAATTCTGTAAACAATGGTTTAAATTATTGGTCAGACCAGAACATAAAAACCGATATTTATCGAATATAAGTACTATACCAGTTTTGTACTACCATATACACATTCTCTTTGTCACAATGGCAACAGGTCAGTATACCACCCTATAGATCAGTGGTGTAGCAGTCTCAGAGTATCGACACTAGTGTCGGTTTTGGTATCCACATGGTGTAAACCATCTAAGTTTTTTGAACACAATTCATTACAAACTATGAAGTACCTGGGAGTGCTTCAAAATGCCAACAAATTTACACTAATAAGTGGCTATACAAGGGAACTGAACACGGTAGATATAAAATATGTATGGTGCTGCAAAATCAGATGGAAACCAAGTTCATTGCTACTTAAAGACAGAACAAGGTCCTCTAGGTCTAAATAACCTGAATAAAATTACTCCAAATTGCACAAAAGTCAATTTTACCAAAATAAGATGGATAAAAAATAAAAAATAATAGGATGTGAATCAAAGTCATTACCTGCCATTTTCAATCTAAACAAGAACACCTGGGTCATAAAGCTCCATATAGAAGATAACTACTTCAGATCAGATGATAAACATAACTAATCCAACTACAAAACAAAGAACATGATGATTTTTACCCAAAAAATGTCTACTAAATGTCATGTTTACTAAAGTAGTGGTACAGTACAAGATCGCTTACAACAAAGAATTCAGTTAATACAGGCAAACAAAAGATTTGCTCAATTCAGCTGTTCTATGAGTTGTAAGGCATGCATAATTGAGCATACTGGAAACTTGAATATGGTATATGGTATGGACAGATGCACTCTCTAATTAAAAGCATAGTGCAAAGATACAAAATCAAAGACCGAGAATGCAACCAAGGGAGGCAAATAATTACTAATTTGACAAATCAACAATATTGCATTTCAAACTAAAAAAACTGGAAGCAGGGTTTGCAATACCGTACTGTGCCGCCCGGTACAGGCGATACGTACCAGTGAGCCAACAGACCAGCACGTGGACCGCCCGCCATCGGACGGTATCAAGCATTTGGCCTTGTATCGGGCGATACAGAACTGTACCAGATGGTAATGATCGAAATTTTGATCGTTATCGACCTATACTGGTCGGTACTGATCGAAACTGACCGTTACCGATTAATGGTTTTCAAACGGTCAATTTGACCGGGAGGCATCCTAAAGGGTTTTTAAACACTTTTCTCCCCTCTCTTTCAATCCATTTCACCTCTCACACTCTTAAACTCTCTCAAGTTCATTTTTACTCACAATCTCTATCTTATTCTCACATTTTCTCTCGTAAACTCAACAAAGCAACAATTTGTGGATTCACGACGATCAACGTACGACCATCACCACATTTATGCACCAATAGCATATGGTGTATCAATACACTATGTCGTAAAATCAATTTCAGGATTGGATCCGACAAATATATCATATTGATATACAGATATATAAGATCGATGACCCCGATCCACCACCCGTGGAGGTTCGTCGTTCGTTTTGGTAATAGAACCAGGTATATCTACACATATGATTACTAAATTCATTTGAATCTTAAAGTTTAAATTATATATAAAATAATCTAATAATTCAAATAATTTGCTATAAATAATTCAATATTAACGGAAGGACGATCCAAAATGAACCGAAATTGTGAACCTTGCACAAGGCTACTCCTCAAAGCCCGAAAAAAACATGTGGCACTATTCTTACCTAATTTACATTAGTTTTACTAAAACTATACTAAATGTATAGTTATTTCTAACTTAAAAACCCTATCCTAACATTTTTTATTTTTCAGGTATTTTTTACAAAATGTTCCATGTTTTTTTCTCTTAATATTGTCTTTGAGTTAAGGTTCTTAATCTCGTACCGTATCGATGTACCGAGATTTGGGACACTATTCTTACCTAATTTACATTAGTCGTACCGTACCATATCGAGCAAAGCTCGGTACACCAATACGGTACAAGATTAAGAACCTTAACTAAAAGACAATATTAAGAGAGAAAAAACATGGAACATTTTGTATAATGTAGTGTCAATCATTTAGTGGATTGTTAAATAGTAAAAAGAATGTATAATGAACTATCCTGACATAACAACTATGTCAAAAGTAAAAACAGATATTGCTAAATTTCTCATCTTAAGCGGCTAATCAATGGCACCTCTCATGGTCAAGCACGAAAACTATAGGCTTAAGACATTTAATCAAGGACCAATTCATAATGGATTGGTCATTTAGTCGATTGTTAAATAGTAAAAAGAATGTATAATGAACTATCCTGACATCACGTGTCAAAAGTAAAAAACGGATATAGATAAATTCCTCATCTTAAGCAGTCAATCAATGGCACCTCTCATGGTCAAGTTCAGAAACTATAGGCTTAAGACATTCAGTCAAGGACCAATTCATTTCCTTGAGAAACTGATAACCTTGAAATTGACGATCCAAATGGAAAATAATCAAGTTGGAAGGGAACGCTTTCTGGTCATGCAGAATTACCCAAAAAAAATTTCCTTCCCTTCTTTTATCAAATACCACAATCTGGTAGTAGATTTAGTTATTAATCATAGGTAGATAAATTTGCATCATTAAATAATTGCCTTATAAGTATCCACTTATCAAATGAAAATTCATATCAACACTGAAACTGGAGATTCCATTTCATCAGGCTTCTGTCTGGTCTTTCCTATGACAATCAACAAACTATTTCTCATACTCAGTTGCATGTGATTCCAGTTTTAATCTTATAAGTGCAGCAAAGTACTTCTAGTTCTAAAAATTATCTAAATGGCTTGTCCGAATAAAATAATAATGTGTGAATCATTAGTGTGGTAGTTAAAACTCCAATAGTACATCACTCATGCTCTTGCTCCACACATTTCAAACCAAGCATGGAGAAGAAGTTGCATGTCTTTCTGCAATTAACAGTCGCGATTTCTGAAGACTGCATGCTGAAAAAGAACCTATACAGAATAGATGTCGAAGCACGTACTGTTACCTGAAATCTATAATAGAAACATAAGTGTAGTCCTCAAAATCGTTAACAGTGCTTCTTTGTCTAATAATTAGTTTGCTCCAGATAATAAGCAGCCATGTAACTATCACATATCCATATGTGCTACATGCACAAAACTCTGATTCCCATAACTTCAGGGACCAATTTTGGAAGGTCTACAACAAAGACCAACTTGCCAATCCCAGAGTGCAAAAACAGAGAACATATCCAGCGAGCCGTATTAGCAAGGGAAATATATCCAACAAGCTGTATTAGCAAGAGAAACAGAAATTTTCACTAGTCCAAAACATTTCAGAGCCTTCTCAATTTTATTTTATCAGACCCTTCAAAGATTATCGTGCCACTGAGATCATGTGCCACTGGGATATCTTTGTCACAGTACAAATACAAGATATACTTCAAGCTGGTTAAGTTAAAATGCCTTGGATCAAGCATTGATGATAAAGTAAAGTATCCAGGTACACCTCAACTTCAATTTATCATACAAATATTGCTCATTAAGAACTAAGCTGCTAAAACCTTTTCTCATCCGATAATATCTTAATAGCAGAAGAAAACATGCTTCATACATACCACACCATATATTTCTTGGTGTTCCTGTTTCTCACCCACAGTACTTTAAATTCCATACATCGAATATTATTAGCTAAAGGTCAATAAGCAAATAACTCTTCTGACCAAACCTTACTGCCCTCTGCTTCTTAACTCGAGTTCATGAGGTGTTCTCTCATAGAGAATCAAGCTAAGCATGCTTGGTATTAACTCCCCTTTCCAAGCATGTAGGCATCATACTGAGAAGCTTCTTATAATCCACAGCCTACACCAGTCCTCTTTAATGTCAAATCTGTGCCATGAAGACAAATCTATACGTGATCACTAGACACAACCAAGCAAGCTGTGCTTAAAAACAAAAGTAATACCTTCTGCAGTGAAATCAATAAAAGGGAAGCATGACGGCCAGTGATGACAGTTTATCATGCAAAAACAGAAAAAATAGAACAAATAATAGCATTTAGTGAAAAAGTGAGAGCACCTTAGTAGTACGAACTAGACCCACCACCACCTACATATCCACTTCCGCTTACATTACGGCCAGAATAGAAGGATGCAGATGAAGAAGAGCCACCACCAATCTGCACAAAGCAGCATATTAAAAATGCAACCTGATGGCTACAATATAATGACACGAGAAAGTGCTTACATCAGAACCACGGGACATATAGCCACCATTGAAGCTTGACGAGTACATTCCACCAGCACCACTGCCGCTGACTGAGCCTATATGGAAATCAGAAATTAATAACAATGACAAGCACCAACATATAGCAATTCAATAAGTAGTTGAAACTAAATGTGCCTACCTCCACCATAAGTCATTCCCTGACGGTTCCCATATAAACTATCATGATCAGAAACTGAAGACCGACTACCACTATACCCCATATGAGACCGACCAAGCCTGCTTATCATAATAATTTAGATAATTGGAAGAACTGTCAATCAACATATTTCACAAATGACTAGAAAATACATATCAAACCTATCACTATAAGCATCTCCATACTGAGAACCACTGCCACTAACAGCATAATCCAAGCGAGCCCTTGACTGACGTAGACTTACATCAGCATAACGAGTGTCATCCTAAAGAAGTAGACGAACCAAAAGGCAGAAGTTAAATAGGAGAAGAAAGAAAAACATGCATATGAAATTGAAAAAAGAAAATCAATTAACGGCACCAACCAGATCTGAGTAAGGACGTTTTGATCCAGAAATTGAATCATAGTCTCGGCTACGTCCTTCTCGATAAGTAGTGACAGGCCTTTCAAGTTTTCGCTCATAACCATCATCAATGAAAGTTCGTCTATCACCAGGGCGAGAAGCATTGCGTGCTGGAATATCCATATAACCAGGCCCTCGGGGGGAGTAATCATCTCTGTAAGACAAGTGTCTCTCTGTGGGAACTCTGGACGCATATTCAGCAATGGCTCTGTTTCTAGGAGGTGGCAGCTCATCACGCCTACCGTAGTCCCTCCTAGCACTGAACTTTGGGTATGGAGCAACTAATCAAAGATATTAAGAAACGCTTTAGTGGACCAGATAGTTAACAGGATGGCCATGAAAGAGGTAGAGATATTTACCTGGTGCAGGTGGTCTTCTGTCATAGGACCTCTCAGGTGGCGGCAATCGTCTTGCCCTCTCTGCTACTGCCATCACAGAATGTCTATCTCTATATCCAAAAGGTCTCCTCAATCCACGACCACCAATTGGCATACCACGAGCAATAATTGATCTAGGGGCATAACTTGGGAATCTACGAGGTGGAGGGCGACCATAAGGCACACGGCCACCTCGAGGAGCTCCCCTGCCAACCCTAAAAATTCCCCGAGGATCGTGTTTCACTCTACCTCTTTGATGTGGTCTTGACAATCTAGCTCTAACTTTAACCTTGTCATTACCTTCCCCGAGTTCAGCATTATTGATGCCTTCAGCGCACGCAACAGCATTATCATGGGAGTCAAAAGTAACAAATCCAAAATCTTTCCTCTTTGCAGCTGGCATATTGCGAGCAAGCTCTACTTTCTCGATTATGCCATATTTCTTCAGGTAATCCTTTACACGGTCCTCATCCCATACGGCAGGCAACCCATCAATAAAAACAGTTTTAACCTGACATTGAATAGCCAAATTATATGAACCCAAAAAAGTTCTCTGCATCATGGAAATGCAAAAAAAGGTCTATAGCCAACTTTTTAATTTCAAGTTCAAACAAAATGCAGACTGATTTACTTTTTGGCGTTCCTTTCTACCACTGAACCAAACAGTGGAAAACAGCATTCATATAACGGAATCAAATTGTACCTGTGCCATGATTTCATCATCTGGCTCAATAAAAGAATCTGCAAAGGCAATCTTAGCAGTCCTATCAACTCCAAATACTACATCTCTCTTCTGCAAGCACCTATAAGCATCCATTGCTTCAGAGCGTGATGAGAACTCCAGAAACGCAAAACCACGGTTCATTCCTGCATTGTTGGTATCTTCAACCAACGTCAAATCTTCCATATTTTCAACTCCATAGCTTTTTAGTTTCTCCTTAAACTGCATATTAAACCCAAACAAAATTCAAATAAATAGGTATTAGAAAATTACATTAAAAATCAGAAAATAAAACAATAACCCAGCATATTACATGTTCCCTTGTCCATGACTTGCAGATATTACCCACAAAGAGTGTGTCACTGTCTTGACTTGGAGCAACACCACACTGCTTACCTCTCACCTACAGAAGATGATTGCCCAAGTTCTCATGAGACAAGAAAAATTGAAACAAAATTTTAAAAAGGGAGATGAAAACAAACCACAGGATTCTTGAGCTCTGAAACAGCACGCTTTGCCTGCTCCACAGTAGCAAAACGCAGGAATGCAAACCCTTTGTTCTTCTTTGTTATCGGGTTCATCATAAGCCGGATTTCAGTAATTTCACCAACTTGAGAAAAAACTTTCTTGAGATCGTTTTCATTAGCATCTTTATCTAGGCCACCAACAAATACTTCAAACTCCTTGCGCTTTCTATGCTCTTCAACAACTTCATGGTGATCTTCTTCAGCATCAATCTGGTCTTCCTCCGCATTTTCAAATTCCTCTTCACCTTCTAAATCTTCTCCACCATCCTCAATCTCCTCATCACCCACGTCAACTTCTTCCTCTTCGACCATATCACCCTCGTCACCCTCCTGACCTTCATCAACATCATCTTCTATTATTTCATTCTCCGGATACTTCTCATCATAATCTACAGCAGTATCTTCTTCAGGTTCATACTCTGGTTCATTGTCCTCCAACTCTAACCTTTCATTTTTATCTTCTTCCGAGTAAACCTCCTTCACATCTTCTTCATCTGCAGTACAAAACACAAAAATAAATTCAACTTCAACAAAAAATTACTAACATATTCTATCTTGACATTTTGATCATAGCAGTATGTATCAAATCGATGCCCACTATAGAGATTTATCAAACAGTTATCGAGTAAAGAAGCCATGTTGATTCCTCTTGAAGCAAAGCTCCATATATCATAAACCATAATGATCCCTCCAAAAAGCAGGGACATCACACAGCAAGTGGCATTGAACGACGTATAAGATATAATGAACAACTATTTACAGAAGCAAAGATATACATGTACAAGATGATGGGCGCCTAAAGAATTCTAATAGCCAATAGCAAACACCAGGCGCAAGTAATCAGCTTAAATGGAATTTGCAAAATTTGTAGCAAGAAGAAAGATAAAAGTATCTTAAAGTCAACATAAACTACTTTATAGACAATTACGAATCATAAATTTTCTATCAGAAGATTAAACAAACAGTTGGAACAGATGCTCGAATACGAGAACAGCTTAACGAGATCTAGATTAGTAAAAGACCTTAAAACAGTCGCAAAACAACTTTTCTCAAGTTAGAATAGAGAATTAATAATAAATAAAAGAAAACAAGGTAACTAAAAGGACGGAACACCATACATTCAACATCCACCGATTCAGGGTCATTCTGACTGGAATCTAACACGACCGGCCTCTCCTGGACGGTCTTCTCCACGACGACTTCCTCGACCTTGCTCTCCTCCTTCACCTCCTCAACGGGAGCGCGGGGCTCTTCCACCTTGGGGCGATCCTCGCTCACCTCGGCCTGGTTCTTGGCCTTCAGGGTCCCCTTAGCCGTCCTAGCCGCCGTCTTTCTCGCCCCCGTTGACCCTCCCGAACCCTTCTTCGCCGGTCGAGGAGGCATCTCCGGTCCAAAAATCTAAACAGAAGTCCAACCCTAAAGAATCGATACCCAAGAACAAGATCAAAGAAAGGTCAAACAACCGCAACGAACAAACGCGGCAGCGACATCCGCAACCTTGTGGTGAGATCAAAGCCCTTCAGAGATGACCAGATGAACCGACCTTGGAAGCAAAACCTACCGATGAAGCCGGCAACGGAGAAACCCCAGCGCGGAAGATCTTTAGGGGAACAAAACCAAGTTAAAAAACACGCACGGCCAACGAAACCCTAAAGAAATAGAATGCTGGCGCGACGCACGACTGATTTGACTACATTACCCTCGTCGAGTGGTTCTACTGACCGCCAATCCATCCGATAGAGTTGTAAGAATACTTTCGTCATTACAGTAGCAGGTCGGATTGGGTTTGTGTTGGACTCGGATTCGGGTCCATCGAATTATTCGGCAGGCTATGATCTCTCGCTAACACCGCAAACCGATGATTTAATATTATTATGTCTAAAAGAGAGAAAAAATATTTTGAGGGATGCCGTAAAGGGGCACAACTCGATCAAGAGATAATTTCTTTATAAGTCAAAAAAAAAATTTCTAGTTCAAAAATTGCATTAGGGGTGATTTAAAAAAAATATTTTGGTGTTTAAGTTAGTAATGGTTTATTATACGTAAAAAAAAATCTCGTAAGGAGTTCGAGTGTTCAGTATTAGTTTAGTGAATTTATAACTAAAATATGCATGGATAAACCCTTATATAATATTTGTTTTTAATCATCAGGATGTTTGGATACAAAAGATTAATTGTTTGAATGAAAAAATAGTTTCATTAATCAAGTTAGTGTTTATTCATCGTAGATAAGAAAATTTTGTAAGGAGTTTTAGTGTTTAATATTAGTTTAATAAGTGTAAGAAAAACCTCTTTTATATTATTTATTTTATCACCATGGTTGATTATGAAAGATTAAGTGCTTTAATAAGAAAATATTCTCTTTAGATGTAATATTGATATGACATGTCTAGTTGATGTATTATCATATTTAAGTTAACCAAGATTCGCACGAGAAGTCACTCTTTCATTTTGTAATCATCGTTGATTATATAGATATGAATAAATTAATAAATATTCTTATATCTCATACTAATATTCTCCGATGTTATTTTCATGATTAATAGATTTATTTTTATGGTACTATGACACTCCTCTCTGAGTTCACATTCTTCCTAACCAACGTTTGGCTTTGGGTAGTTTAGACCTTTTAGATTTATCGTCGCTTCCTGACCTCTTTTAATTATTTGCATCAATACCTCTATATTCTTTGAGTAATTTTTCTTAATCAATGAAAAAACAAACTACAACTCTTATGTTTGACTTATGTCATCGTATTATTGTTATGATCAATAAGACGCTAAGAGGGGAGGGTGAATTAGTGCTTACGTTAAATTACGTCGATTTGAAATTTTTCGTTCAATAAAATCGTTTCGACAAACCCTATATCGGAAAGTAATGAATGTAATGACTTAGAGTAAATATAAAGTGAAATGACAACTAAGTAATATAAGTAAGTAGTAAGAAAAAAACACACCAGATTTATAATGGTTCGGTCATCGTGACCTACATCCACTCCTGATTCCTCTTAACTCGAGGCCACCAACTTACACTACCGGTTTTCCTTCAATGGACAAAAACCAACTACCATTTTACACTCTTTCTCCTTTTCATGGGTTTAGGAGACAACCCTTACAAACCTCGTACCTCTCTTAGAATGATCTCAAAACTAGACACTTAGTAATTTTACAACCCATAATAGCAACCCCTTTATGCTCTAATTTGTGTGTCTCCAGAATAACTGGGGTATTTATAGACTCCAATTGACTTTAAAAATAGAGTTAAGAAAGATCTCATCCTGAATTTCCCGAGTCCTAGCGGTACCATCACTTGTGCTGGGCGATACTACTGCCTACAACATTGACACTATATGGTACCACCGCTTGACACAGTCTGGGAGATCGTGTCTAGGCGATACCATTGCCCAGACTCGCGGTACCACCACCTAACATTAGGTGGTACCATCGTCCAATCTAACGGTACCATTGCCCGACATAGTCTAGGAGAATGTGTCTAAGTGGTACCATCGCCCAAACTAGCGGCACCACTACCTGACATTGGGTGGTACTATCGCCTAGTCTTGCGGTACTACCGCTTGACATAGTCTCGGAGATTGTGTTTTGGAGACTGAGCCTTTGGCGGTGCCACTGCTTGACCCAACTTTTGGGTCACTGAATGAGCTTTTCTCTTGGCACAAAACAACCACAACATAAGCCCAATTGACCCCTAATTGAGTTGACCTAATTATATTCTAAACCAACTCAATTATAACTAAAACTATTTCGATCTAGATAATTATTACAAAGTATTAATCATATGTTGTCCGACATGTCATTGGTTCATCGGCTCTTCGTCCAATCCTTCAGCATATCATCCTCTTTTACGGCCTTTTGCCCAATCAGCATATTGACCTCTGCAACTTCGATCTCCTTAGTGCAATGTTCACTCTTCTAAGCTCGATGCTCGAACTCATGGCACAAAGCCTTCTGCCAACACGTCGACTAATCCTCCGGCTCGACGTCCAATTTTCTGACATATTCTACTCCGGCCCAACATTGATTCTTCATGCTTTAATTGTCTCTTCATAATCGAAGCTAGTCCTACGTCACTTAAAATGCAGATTATATCATAAAATATATTAACCGATTTCATCATTAAAATCTGAGATCTAATAGTTACAAGGCTTGTGCTGATTTTATTGGTAGCAACGTTCACTTGCTTAGACTTGTCTTCTGATTTATTGGGCTCCTTCAAGCGAATATAAGTTCTGGACCAATGCAACTCTCCAACACCTCCAATCATACCTTTGTATAATCAAATCTCCTCATAGGATTCACTGGTACTTATACTTGAAATCTCCCTTATTGGTATACAATCCCTATATATTGATAACTAAGGCTTTCTATCAATATAAAATTTGATGCATGCATAATAGACCTGCCTGTATAATACCATAGAATTCACTTCTTAAATTCATAGCTTTTTTACCGTCATGTTGCTCATAAAGGTAGAGCTTACAGTGTGATCTTATGTATGTCGCATTGCCTTGAACTGTTCCATCACGATTCATTACATTATGTCTTCTCTTGGTGATACCTTCATTTATTATAATTTTTGTGTGATGAACTCGAATTGTGATATCTCCATATGTGACTTTTGCTAGTACATCATAGGGTATTTGTCACATCTAATTATGTTCGTTCTTTTAGCAATCAATCTTTGTCCACTCGCTCTCAAGTTACACATAGATAAAATACAACTCTGATAATCTGTCACCCAACAGCTCTCGTAATCCATCGATTTTACTAAAATTGATACATCATTGTTTGGATCCTATGCCCCTGCCCCCAGTACAATCACCATTACGTATAGCTTCCTTTATGGTAATTAAAATATTAACACTATAGCATATTTTTTAAGAGTACCCTATTCTGCATTATCATTATCTTGCTCGTGCTAGGTTCTTTTGACTCTAACTTTGTCTTTGTAAGTTGAGTTATCTTAGTCCATCCGTTAATTATTTCGTTAAGATAATGTGCATGTGCTTCGAAACTCTCTTTGACTTTGGTATCCTATAAGGTGACTTTGCTTCATCAGAACGGGGGACCTATGGAATAACATGATCTTGCTATTGCTTTTGTAAGAGTTCATGTCCTTGACCTATGTTCAATAAAAGATTCATGCATCCGCTCTATGTTCTGTCTTCTATATCGACCCTCTTCATGTTGCTTGGGCACTTCACTAAGTTCCACCCAAGTTGCTTCACTCCTCGATTTGTATCGAGATGATAGTGGCTCTTATGCTGAGACTAATCTTCATATAAACTCTAAGTGTATATTCATTTGGTATTACCGAGAGTCACTCATGCAAGATTATGTGATGACTTCTCGTCGCTTGTCAAATCCATTAAGCTTTATAAAGCTGTCGTCTTGAGATACTGCCCTCAACATATGCAGTATGTTACACATGATTTTCTTTTTGGAGAACCAGTACTTATTCCTCCCGGGTATTTGTCATATTAGAGTAACTTTTCTCTTTGCATTATTCCTTTTGGAAGTGTTGGATGCTACCATTCCCTTAGACTTCTCCACCTTGTTGAACAAAATATGTACTATTTTGTCATCACAAATGTACTTGTTAGATTGTGATTATTTATCAATATAGCCCCTACCGTGCCCCTCAATACCTAGCAATATATTAACCTTCCTATGAATGTATCCTTCCCATATCGAAGAAAAAATTTTCATACTCCATGACATTGAGTTTCGATCACCTTAAGATGGTTACAAACAGTCTATCGTCCATATGCAAGCCCTTGCATGAGTACTGAATTCTTCGAGTTAGTAATTTCTCTCACCTCTATGAGCTTTACATTGCTATTTCAATCATCGAGCAACCCATTCCTCCTTGCATGCTCTCATTCTTGGTTAAGCACCCTGCTTGCTTTGAACACTATCAAGTTTGGTTGTCAACGTTAAGTCGTAGCTCGAACTCAGCTATCCTAACCTTTGTGCACTATGTGTTTTTCCTACCTCAGTTGTCCTTGTGGCGCCTCTTGTATGAAAGGTCAGTTATTCCTCTAAATGTCAATCTTGGATGCTTACTCCTCTAAGCGACTTCTTTCCCTACATCTTTATGCCCTTTCTCTTAAATGGTCAAATATGTTGGTTGTATGTATGTAGTCCCACTAGGTCCCTGACATTTGCATACTAAATATTTCTAAGTATACTTGTCTCACTCTAATATCATATATTATGAATATAACTAGTTTTGCCTAAGTCATATATCACCATTGCGTGTTTGTCCCTAAATGGTTAGTCATCCCAAAAATCTCTTATGGTCCCTTAAGGGCCTACAAAGACAAACTAAAAAAAGCGTTTAACTCATAATTCCATAAGCAAATATTTCAATAAACACTTGATGGATATTATAAATTATAAATATGAATTTCACACGTATTGAATTATCACATAATAAAAGGTTATATATGATCTATCGTATCCAAAAGTCTCAATAATTGTCCACATAATATTGTTATGGAATAAAACAATGAATGAACTCTAAATAATACTATAAAGGTCCATCCAATTATATGCTACCCAAGTAGCTTCAAGATGTTATACTAGTTAACACTCACTATACGGAGACAAAAAAAATATCTAAAATAATTACTTGGATAATCTATTTTTGTGTAGTTTTATCTTTGTGCAATAACTACACAACTTATTTTACGGAACTAAAATAATTACAAAAATCAACTAAAATTTGATTATCAAACCTATTGTAAGTGAGTTGTGTAAAGCATGAATAAAATTTAAAAATACATATCCATACAAATATTATAACGAACATCCTATATATAAATTTGTTCGGGACAAATGACATAACTATATTTGACAGGCAATTAGAATGTTACACGTGGCATCCAATCCAAACATAAGGGTTGGCATACTTGGACGATGACGTGACCCATGGAGGCCTACCAAGTCAGCCACTATGCAGTCACCGTTACATATGAAGGGAAAAAACCCTGCAACTGATTTGCTAGAGGCCATTTGATCGGCCATGATCGATAGGCCATCACTTGGTAATGGACAACGCTAGGAAGAGAGGTTGCCGATTTGGATGTCGTCGTCAGCGTTGGAGGAGGAACAACCACCATTTGGTGCAGATCAACCGACTGCCGGTGAGCCCAAATCGGGTCGTCCACGTTACTTACCGACGAGGCACCGCAACCGTGGATGGAGGATGCCAATCTACTAGGAAGAAGGTTGATCGACGTAGATTGGGTAGGCTGGTTGCTTCTCGTAGGTAAGAGGGACGCCACCGCTACGAGGAAGACAACCGTCATGAAAGAAGCGATCGTCATCGGTCGTAAAATTCCAACTCCGTTGCATCTCCAATGTGATCATAGCAATCTGAGTTTATGGCGATCTCGAGACGACTATGACATACCCATATTTGCAAAGCATGCAACTCGTGTCATGTGTCTCTATTTGAGCAACCTTGATGCCATATTCCTTACCATGAAGGTTCCAAGTTAGTCATCTACACCCTCACACATCTCTTACGTCTAACACTCTTTATGTCATGATGTTCTTACGTGTCTTATTTGTTTAACCTTCACTACGTTGACAATCCAACTTGATATATCTCATGTCTTAATGTATCTCCTACATGGCTTGTACGGATAATTTAGGTCGATACATCTCGATGGCCTTATGTGTCTATAGTGTTCGACACCCTCTATCCAAGTAGTTCAAGTGCACACGATGTGATACCCTTATACATCTCATACGTCCGACACCCGTTGCATAAATGGTTAAAGTTAACATGTCCCGATGCCTTCATGTGTAATTGATGTTCAACACCTACTATGAGGACGGGTTAAGTCAACATGATCCAATGCCCTATTGTGTCTGGATAGTTCAAGTCGACACGTTCAAACATCTCAAGCATGTACATATAAGCCATTTTCTCGAAGCATAATGTGCCATTGAATAAAATCATAAGTTGCTAAATAAGACTAGACATACAACACCCATTTTAACCATCAGGATCCATTTAGCTAAGCGATGACGTGACAACACTTAAGCCCACCTAAACAGCCAAATGATGATGTGTCACCATGCAAGCACATATCTAAAAGAGAATATACCCTACCGATGCCCCAACCCAAAGGTTTATAGAAGTAAGGCCCCTCAAACATGCATTGTCTCATAACACTCCGAATTGTCATTCTTGAGCTTTGTCTTAACTCAAGCATTATAGAAACCTTGTTGGATGTATCTTCGTGTAGTTTTGCCAGATCCTTTGACTCAGAAAGATCTACTCTCGAGGAGATGAAGAGTCAACCATCTCAAATGCATCTAGAGATCATTTGATTTACTCAATTTCATCCCGTGAGGTTGATGACCATTTCTAAGACTAACACTATTTGATCATTAAGTAGATGTCAGATTTAAGAACAAATGACCAATTTCAGGATACAACTATTAATCCAAGTAAAAGAATGACTATGAGCTGATCTTTTTAGGCACCTTTTCAGCTGAGTTATTTATTAGGTGTAACATCATCATTGTGTTGTTTCATGAAATTGAGAAGAGACTCTCCACTGATCAATTATCAAAGAACAAAGAAGAATGCATAGGATTATAATTTAATCAAATATTTCAAAACCATGTCCAGATGAATCACAACACAACTAATAGAACTCTAGTGTCTCTCCACAATGGACGATCTTATAGTTCAGCGTTCTGAGAGCAACTACATGTAGTTCACAAATAAATTCCAATATAGTGTTTAGGGAAAGAACTGTGCTGTATCTGATAGCAGCATCTCCATTTTATACAAGAAGATCTTAGAATTAACATTCAGCTATAGGAAACACCGATCCGATTTTGTCGTTTCCGAACCGATAACACTTTAAATTGACAGAATATGGACCTAGATTAACATGGTTGTCTTCACCACCAACAAAGAAACAAAGAGTATAAAGGGCAATTTCAAATTCTGGGCTCACTCCAAGAAGAGTAGTAGAGACAGATTTCAGAATGCCATTCCATTCAAACTGAATTGTTAGGACCTGGGTTTCGGAATCTGGCTGCAGGTTGCATGATGGAAATAATGTCAGCATGTTATTACTTAATATATGCTTCAAGGAATCAGGTTGAACCAATGCAAAGAGTATTGATTATGACTTTGTAAATGGACTCAGAAAGCAAAATTTATCTCTAGGAAAGACTACAAGGAAAATTATAGTGAAATAGTTTGCTCTCTATAGATTATACCACTAGCAGTACACTTCACATTTTCTTTGAGTAAATTTGTATTACATTTTCTGTTGATATATTCATTTATCTTTTAGATTGTATTTTTCTTGCACTGCCTCAAAAGTTCGGCAGAGAGATAGTGATTAATAGAATTAGCAGGCAGGCCTTATGCAATTTTCTTGACATCTATTCTGAATCTGATACTCTACTCTGTAGGATATAGACTAGTGCTGCAGGCACCATGTTCATTATGTGCATCGAAACACAAAGCTCTTTGTATGCATATGAAGTGGGTTGGAATTATAGTTTTAAGAATGATGAGAGCTAATGGCAGATGGACTTATTCTAGTTGTGATTCAAGATGAAATCTAGTGCTAAGGAATGAATGAGAAGATATTAACAAAGAACAGTTCTCAATGTACTCACATATGGTCCTCTTCTTCTTGGTAAAATGTAACCTTGGTAGTCTACTCTTCCTTTAGCCTCTTCTAGATAAAACTGCAAAAGAAAGTTGCAAGTAAACAAGATTTTTTCTCAAGAACAAATTGCAACATAATATAATTTTCTGTCCTGTTTAAAATGTGAAAAAGGTGCATTAATTGGAAATAATACAATACCAGAAAAGAAAGGGTTGGGTTGGCAAATTTTACATGCTTTGAGTAACATTACTAGTGTTGTGAAAAATGTATGTTGCATGAGCAGCTGTTGATACTGTATCATGGTTATCGGTTTATGAACTGCTTACCAGAATATGTTCAGCTCTTCATAAATAAGCAGGAGTTAATAGCAGAAATCTACACCAATCTTATTTCTTCCACATGAAATTCTAATACAAAAAGATTGATAATAACAACTTTGATCAGTCTTATCCTCCTAAAAAATCTATGTCTGCGGCTAAGTATGGACTAAAATCTCACATGAACAAACATATAAGACAACTCACAGCACCAAACAGTCAACAAAGAAAGACATTTTAACCTCATAAAACAAACAAAATGCACAAAACTTGAAAGAAACCTGCCTGAATCCAGTTGTGAAACCCAGAGACCTCTTTCTCTTCGCGCCTTTTGATCTCTCCTACAAATACATGCTCAAAAGCAGAAGAAGAACCAGAAACACCACCTCGGCCATATAAATCGAACCACAAACCACACATCATTCTCTTGAAGTGTTCATAGTTATCAGATACGATCTCCTTGGAAACTAAATAGTGATAAAGATATTTCACTGGTGCAGTCCTGCTTATTTCCTCGATAAATGCAGTTTGTTCGTGTTTCTCTTCTGAAGTGACCACTTCTTTGCATCCTTCATCAGGATTGTAATTGTCCAGAAGAGAGCAAAATCGAGAATACGTAGGCCGTCTAAGTATATCATCACTGAGCCAGCTGAACAGGCACTCGGATGCCATGTCCCCCTTTTGATAGACCTTCTTCCCTCCACCACAGTCAATTTCATAGTCTTTTCCAGGCACCAAACGATTCAGATCGAGTTCCCACAGCCTGCTGCATGCTTTCGACAAGTCATCGAGCTCTTCTCTGGTTGGTTCTACATTCACAGCATTCTTAGCATGACCCATATACTGCTGTTCATCGGGATGCCTCTTAAATGCACTCCAGGTCTCTGCTGGTGCCTGCCAACTCTGAAGAGTCCAACAAGAAACTAATCATGTTAAATCAGATAATCAAACAATTCCTTGCAATTTGCATCACATACAACATAAGAAATCAAGCATGAGCTCCGAATCTTTCTATGCATAGGTAGCATAAATTATTTGTTCTGAATTGGCTATTCCATGTTTGCTGTTGCAATGTGCCATTTCTCTTATGAACTAAATCATACTTGGAGAGAAGAACTATTTGTGGTTATAGCAAACTAAAATTATGAGGTTCTGATACCATAGATCTGATCAAGTTTCACTTTACCGAAATATAGTCAATCAAACTGCCAACAGTCCAATGTTAATCAAGCCAACTTCAGTGACAGCAGAAATTACATTGGGATAGACTTGATCGACAACTTCAGACAAGCAGATTTCAAGGAGAATTAACCGAGTTCCAATTGCTAGCCATATAGTCCCATCTATTATTACTAGAGAACCCACAATAATAATCCTAAGAACAACTACAGAAAAGGAAATGGCACTACAGAATCAAACACCATATGAAAAGACAAAACCTTTTGCGGCCTCCTGCGCTGACCATGCTGCTGATGGGTCTTTCCGCTGCCGACGGTCTCCCAGCCTCCTTCGTTCCCTTCATTGTCGTTCTCCTCCTTTACGATGCAACACATAAGAAGCCCAGCATTTGTCGATTACCACCAAATCCCCTCATCAAAATCCGATCTTTACCGGGAACAAGACAGCCAATGGAACACAAGGACAGAAAAACCTCACCTTTCTCGAGCTCCACCGGTTTCGGCCTCCCGCCTCGGGTTCGGCATCCTCCTCATGCCCCGACGAAACCACCTGCCTCGCACCAGCACCGCATTCAGCACACGGATCCAGATGCAGCTAGCAAGATTGAGTAGGAGGACCGAGGACAGTGAATCGAGAATAAGAGAGGACCTGAGCCCAAGTGGATCTGGACCGTTCCTCGCGGGAAGGGGAGTGTGACCTTCGGGAGTCATCGTCGTCGTCGCCGGCAACCGCGTCCAGCGCTACCTTCATCAACCCCTTCACGAGGCCTTCCATCTCTTCTCCCTTCTCCTGCTCTTCTTTGGGATGTAGTTGGCTAAGGAGAAAGTGGATGAAGACGAGTGGAGGTGAAGTCGCCGTTGAAATCGAGCTCGTTTTCTATTGAATGAGGCGTGTGAGTGGGTGAATGGATGGGGACATAAAGAAGCGGAGGTCGATGGTTAGAACATGGCGGGTAAGTGGTACAGAGCCTCATTAGATTTTTAGTTAGATTACGTTTATTTTTTCATTTTATTTACTATTTTCTTAATTTTCTGGATAATGATGATGCTGTCGGTATCGTCCCCAAGACATGATCTTATCTCGAATTAAATTAAGGTCGCATCAAAATTTAATATATTTTATGTATAAATTGCTAATTCTTTTATTTTTTTTTATATATTTTAAATTTTATATAATATCATCTTTTAGCAAATAAAAGATGCGATAAAATAAGAAGGGAAAATTGTATAAAAAACAAAAAATAAGATTTAATTAAAAAAAGGGTTAATTATAAATATTATATATGCATGTAGTTAGCAGAGGTGGCAATAGTTGTAGGCTTGACTTGGTTTGATGGAAGGTGATGACCACGGCGGGTGGGAGAAGGTGGATAGAGGTCGGTGTCATGGGCCAAGTAAGGCAAGGACGTGGACGGAAATAAAATATGTGGGGGCCAACTTCGTGTGCAGTAGTAGGGAGACGTAATATGTGGGTAGCTTTCGGAAAATAATTTAGAGCAAAATAGATACACTTACTTATTAGCTATGATTGTCTATTCAAATTCAAATCCACTCCTTTTTGGCTTTTGGGTGGAATATCTTTATGCGTTCTTCGTTGTCTCCATTTTTGTGAGAGAATTATCAGTAGCATTTTAAATACAACTGTAATTTTCTTTCTATTGGCTCCTTAGACGACGGAAGGATCGAATCCTACTCATGTCTGCTGGTTATCCTTTCCTCGGTATCTTTCTCGAGTTCATAACTCTATCGTGTTGTCTACGAACTGTACTTGAAGGATAGGAAGGAATGATAGAGCAGGGAAGATAATTAGTACATAAAGAAGGGTACATATTTCATGCCGATTAAAGGACACATCTTTGCAAATCTTGAACTAAATGCTGTCCACCTGAATCCAGTAACAAAGAATTCTCCGAAATAAAAAGAGTTATTTTTATTTTTTTTGGGACGGGGTTTAATTCTTCTTCTTCTTCTTTTTTTCCCTTCTTTTGGAGTCGGAGTTTGGAGGGATTGGTGATGGAGCTGCTCGTGGGTGGAGGGGACGGCTTGGCCTGGAGGAGCTTAGGAGAGGAGGACTCGGACGCTACCAGTTGTGACACAGCGGCAAACCGGGCATGAGTCTGAGGCCGCGTCGCAGGCGTCGCAGAGGCAGAGGTGGCGGCAGGGGAGGAGCACGACTGACGCCCGGCGACACTGGCACGACCGGCACGCCCGCTCCCGCTCGACCCGGTCCGGGTCCTCGAAGCCCGACTCGGCGTCCTCCGCTGGCGGCGAATCGCCGGAAATCTCTTTCCTCTCCGGGGCCGCAGCTGCCTTCTCGAGCTGGGCGTTGAGGGCGGCCGCCGTCACCTGGTCTGCCATGGCCTTGGCCTGCCACGCCATCGTCTCGGTCCGGAGGAGGGCGAGGCGGTTTTCGAGCTCGCCGCGACGCCGGGCTAACCGCCCCACCTCCGCTTCCTTCTCCCGCAACCGCCGCGCGGCTGACTCCTCCGCCGCATTCAACAAAGCACGGTAGTGCCTCTGCCGTCGCTCCGCCAATGCCCGCCGCAGCTGCTCCTCCTACCCAAGCGGAAAAAAGGAGCGATTTTTCTTGGTTTGCTCTCTCGAGGACAAGCGGAGGAGGAAAAGAACAAGAAGAGTACCTGAGCAAGGAGAAGCGTGTCGATTTCGTCCCTCTGATGGTTAACAAGTGCGACAAGTTCTTCATGTAAGACAGTGGAAGAGGAAGAGGAAGCGGAGGAGAGAAGGGGATTGGATTGCGTCTCTCTCCTGTGGCGTCGCTTCTCTTCTGCGGTGAGACGGAGGCCAAGAGAAACCTTGGACGGCGGGTGCATTTGGAGCTCGGCGATGCTCACAGGTGCCGGCGAACAAGGTTGTGGTTTCATCGAGAGGAAGCTTAAAAGGCGGCTCTGATGCTGCTGCTGCAGCGGCGGCGGCGGCGGCGACGGCGCCATTGGTACGCCGGCGGCCTCCCTCCCTCTCTTCCGCGCTTCCTTATTCGCTGCCCAACAGCAGACCCATCTCCATCTCAAAGGAACAAATGGAAGCACCAGGAAGGAGTCAACTTTGTCTCACCTCCGTCCCGCGTCGCGGCCTGGGGAGAGTAGTCCATCTCCTTCTTCTCCTGCTCGCTTCTGCATCGAACCACAAGCCACAGATCATCAAGACCATCCTTAAAGATCACAAATTTGCATATCAAGACAAAATTCGCCCAAAAGTATTCTGCAAAGATCGAAACGTGCCGAAGGAATTCATCGAACGGGAGGAAAACAAGAGAGCACCTATTCAGAAGCAAAATGTTGGATCCGTAGTGGGCTTGAACTGCCATTCCGAGAGAGGAGCAAAACAAGGCGGGCAGAAGAAACGGTGGCGGAGTCGACGGCAAGAATCAACGGAAACTTTGCTTCCTTAATAGCCCCTTCTCTTCTGCCTGCTCATCACCAACGTTTCTCAATGTCGAACAGTAGGGAAACAAAAGAACACAGGAGAGAAAGAGAGAGAGGGAGAGACGCTTGAACCCGATGAATCAGTCAGTCATGCAAAGGCGGGCTTTTCATGTCCTCCCTGCTTCTCTCACATGCACTTCTTGCAAACACGCCATACAACGCAGTGAGAGAAAGAGAGAGAGAGAGAGAGAGAGAGAGGCAGCAACGTGCTTTACAAATCTTAATCCACTCTCCTGCTAACATTTAGTTCAAAATCTCCTTTATGGCATCTTGATAGCATATGGAGGAGGGGGGGAGAGAGAGAGAGAGAGGCATGGGTTGGGGTGCACTGGTGCTGCTGCTTGTTTGGTTGCTGGCTTTTCCCCTTTCTTCGCTCTTTCCCCTGCTTTGCTTGCAAGCTTTAAATCAACAACTGCTCCCTTCCTCTTTCCTCATCTTGGAACATAAAAGAAAAAGCTGTGGGATTAAACCTAATTTTGACTGCCTGAGTGATGGGTACTGATTTCTTGATCAAATATGCAAACCAGTAGCTTTTGTAAATTATGACAAAGAAATTACAAGAAATTGACATTAAACTAATTTAAAAATTGTTTTGCAGATCAATTTCTTTTAGGTGAATTATTTCCTACTTTATACTTCCTTTCCAAGTACGTAACAATATGAATGCACACATATGCACAAGTGTCCATACATACACATACAAGCATGCAAATACCTGCACTCACAAATACACTCTTTTATTTTTAAACATCTTTTTCTAAGATTTTTTTTAAAGTTTTGTGAAATAATATGAGGAATAGTTTAATTAAGGTTTTATCAAGGAGTCTATAGTTCAGGACATAGTCACTTATTTTATAAAAAAAAATCATATTGAAGAAAAGGAAATAAAACCTTTCGATATGTGTGCACTCAATAATTTAGCAGAGGAGAGAAGGAAATGGCAAAGAATGCAAAGAGATGCATGTTTCATGGAGGAATATTGACAACCATGGGGGAAACAATTTCTTAGGAGATGTGGACTTTGTGAGGATGGCTTCTCCAATTAATTATCCTTTTTCTATTGTGTTCTTCTTTTTTTTGTTTCTATGTCAAAGTATCTCTGCCATGTATAGCTGTCATAAGCTATGGGGACCTTATTATTTATGTGGATGGAGGAGACTATATCTCCATATCCGATCCAGTGAAATCAAAGCTTAATGATCTCAATATATTGTAATCTCCCACCCTGACATTTGTTTTCACTTCAATAAGTCTTTGGATGAAGAAACTTCTTAACATCTCACTTTAGTTCAATGGGAGGAGATTTGAATTCATGTATAAAGTTAGAATGAGTGTACTATTATTAACTTAAACTAGATCAAGAGCAATAAAAGAGATTCGAGTTAATTTTTAAGGCAATTATTAACTTAGATTTCAATATTTTGAACAACTAGCGACGATAGATATGTGAAACAATAGTAATGAAGGGTGAAAATGACTGGTTATATATTTCTTAATTCAAAGATGCATTGCTTAATTCTGGAGCAATATGTACTTTGGATTCTTACATCTTAGATGTTGAGTACACTTGAAAGCATGTTAAAGCGAAGCTAGCAGTCACTCCATGAACCACTACATCAAGGATAAGGTTGAGATTATGCTAATCATATGACATAGTATTGATCCTTTTAATCGAACATTCTCTCAGAGAAAAGAATAATACCTGAATACTGAAGTAGATGGTAATCGGAGCGGTGATCTCTCATTAACATCTCTTCAACTAGCTCAATGTTGATATCATGGTCTCCTTCATAGACGAACAATTATTTCAGTGACTGGATATTCTCAATGATTAAATAGGTTGATGGATGGGGGAGGTAGCATCTTAAAATGATTCACAAATATAAGGATAAAAAGGATAAGTACATTTAATGGTCCAGAAGAGCAAAAATGAACCATGATAAACATGAGATGTTGGCATCCCCTCTTCTTGGAATACATAGTTATCCTGTTTGTCTCTATTGAATAAAAAATGATTGTGTGAAGGAAGCAAAAACTGAAGGGAATTGAGGGAGATCACATACCTGAATGTAATAATTCCGAATAGCAGAATGTAGTTTTCTTGTACACACACACACACATAAATCTGACACAAATATGTTACCTGTTGAAATCATGTATTGTGATTCATGGTACATGATGAGGCAAACCAATAATTTAGACTCTTCAGTACAGAGACATGTCATACTGCACAATATATTCTTGATATCTAACAAGAAAATAATTAGGCCATGACCTCATGTTTGGATGCCTATGCTAAGCCAAAGACAAGGCTTGCTTCTTTTTTAAGATGACGCAAAAGACAAACTAGTTATGGAAACAAAGAGGTATGACATCCAGACAACAATCTTTCTTTGGTTTGTGTGTGTTTGTGTGTTTGCCAGCTTATTTTTCCCAACAACGTGTACTGGCAGCAGCAGTCATCACCATTCAAGTCTCATATTACAACTCTACTCCCATTGCAGAGCAGCTGTTTAGCACCATGCATTGCTTGTCCCAACAAATTGCTACCTCACTATAATGCCAAGGTGGGGTTGGCCAAGCTTCCAGTTGAGAGAGAGTTAAATGAAACATGGTGGGCCTTGAAGGAAAACAAATGGCAACCTCAACATGGGTGGATGAGTATGGAGCTTGACAGCATTGTCTAGGTATGAAAGGAACAGAAGAAGGAACAAAAATTGTCTATAATGATCATTAAATTCTTCTTTTTTGACTTTTTCTGAGAAAAAAAGAAGATTGATATTTACCTAGCTTTTCTAATGTCTTGCATAAATCCAACCATACTATATAGGATGAGGGGTTCATTTATCTGAGACTGATTGCTATATTTGCATTCACTTGGAACAATGCATCCTGGTCTGCCTGTGACTTTCCATCTTGACGAAACTTCAAAGATTGTAGGTCTTTAAGATAAGATGTAATATGAAGATAGAGATTTGAGGCAGAATCAGTTTCAAAATTATTTCCAGCAATGCAGTATCACTTTGACTTCAGGAGGAAGTGAATCGTGACAGAGAAACAACATAAACTTTTTAGGCATTGGAGTTTTTGGATAGAGAGACTCATTACTCAACCAACATAAAAGGTTTAGGGAGAAAAAGGAAAAGAGATTTTGGCAGTGCCACTGACTTCCTTGTTGCAGACTGCCACAGATTGAATCAGGCACTCACATGGCTTTGGACACTGGAGAAGGAAGAGGATAACTTCTGATGCATTTTCTTCCACCATAATCTAAGCACTGCATCCAGCTCCTCAGCCACCAAAATCATGTGACATTAAAGTTGTACTTCATGGAAGCAGCCTTCTTTGTGTATAAGAAGTAAACAGTTTGTTTTCACTTTTCACTAATACTTTTTGCATAATAGTCAGGCATCCCAACAAAACTGTCTTGATCTCTCCTGATACACAAGCCTCATGTGACAATTCTTGAGTACCAAAGTGCCCACATTACTGAAGTTGATGAAAGGAGGACAGAAAAAAGCACTGCTCAGATGAAAGTATATGCTAATATCTTGACATCTCAACATAAAAATATACGTATTTGTTTGGGAGTTGTTGATGTTTGTAGCTTCTACTTTGTCCACCATTTGATGTGCATGTTGTTCATACATTTCTTATCTAAATTTTCTCAGATTTCAAAATAAAATAAGATACCAAATAGATCTTAGAAAATCTATTCCCTTGACAGAAGAAAATGTACTCCCCCAGAAAGGGGCTGGCATATGATATTTCTTTTTAATGGATAGGTGTCAATTGTTTAAATTCCTTGTCATATACACCTTCTCTCAACACTTCCATGCTCATCAATACAACCGAACATCACTGAGAGGCTCTAAAAAATCTTTAGTCTTTTCTTAGTTGTACAAACATTAAAAAAGTGCAAGTCAGAAATCCTTTCCTTTGCCACTATGAAGCTTCAGCTGTGGTTGCCATCTCCCAAGTTAATGCAATCATTCACTCCTCTCCGTCTACCTCAACTTCTATTGGCTTCCTCTTGGATGTTTTGAAGAGTTGGAATGATGGGAACCAGCTTTAATCTTTCCAATATTTGAAGTGATGCGGAGAAGTCTTACCTATAACATGTGGCCTCTTCTTTATTAGTGCAGTTAAGTGAAGGGTACATGTGACTGTGTGGGCAGGAAACCTTTATAAGGTCATTACCTATCTTTCCTTGGCTCTCTCCAACCAGTTCCTATCAGTCTAACAGCATCTGAAGATGGCATCTTTAAGGCAATTTAACCTTTTGAAAGTGTAAAATGACTGACTGATTGAACTGATGAAGGGACCTACTCCATTTGGCTGAGGATGACCAGTGACTCAGATATGTCTGCATCTGGATAGAAGCAGAATGACTTGTTTGTAGTTATGATTGATAAGCCATTGTGTTGCTATCTAGCAGTACTACTTAAAACCTTTGAATGCCTGTAATTAGCCTTGGGATCCTCAAAGCATGTGCATTGGGATCTAGCTGACCACTTATGTACAAAGGTTAATCTGTAAGATTGAATCAGAGTTATCAGGAGTTGAGACAGGCACCCCTAATGAGCTTGTGTACCTGTTAGACCTTCTAATTTAAGATAAGCCTTTAAAAAAGTGTACTGATATATTAAAATAATCGACAGACTTTACGCATAGCTTTCTGTTTCAGAAAAGATACAGAATTTGGATCCTGAGTGAGTTCACAGTTATTAAGAGCTGGGATAGAATTTGCCAGTTTTGATTCTAAATATGTACTAATGTAATGCTATTGGAACTTGGATTTCATCAGCTGGTACATCCATCAATCTCTCATCTTTGACATTTGATGTCCTATGGCCCATTACCAGTATTCAAACTGCGAGAAGAAGACAGGATCACACAGCAACAAAGGGGACATTGTGCTAATAGAGAGTGGTCCAGACATCAACAGTTGCAAGTATGCCTTCATTCAAAATTGTCTCAGAAGGGGGATGCAATATGCATGCCATTCTCTCATCCTTCAGATATATGCTCCAAAGAGAGTTCCTCTTTTTCTCTCAACTAGATCTACATAATCTTATCATCTCTTCATTCGCTCGCAATGGCTCTTGATGTTTATACACAGCATGGCATCCTTCTTGTTTTATTTGCATATAGCCTAATTAAGATATTTGTTACTTTTTACAATATTATGTGTTGAAGTGCAAAACAAGCCATGGAAATAAGAAACAATGATCACCTTCAAGACCAAATCACTGTTGAAGTAGGTTATACTAAATAGAAACCCTTGTTGAATGTCGGATCAAATGGCTCTTTCATCCCTTAGATCTCAAGCTCTCTTTTTTTACATGCCTACTAGTTGGTGGTTGGAGAACGGAGATGAGGAACCCTAATCTTGCCTGCATTTGGCACTAGGCCAAGTCAGATGTTGTCTTTTGTCTCCCATTACCTTCTTTCTTGATTTAATCTTCCCAAGATCAAACAATTCCACTAGATCCAAGCATAAAACTGGCTTTACTTGTATGTGTTTGGATGGGAAAGCACTTGTTATCTTCCCACCTTCATCCTCATCTTTTTGTTGTGCATATAGCATGCCTGTCTTTTTGTTGTGCATATAGCATGCCAGTCTACGATTTCTTTCTTCTGCCAAGCAAATTATTCTCCCATTATTGATTAGTATGAGGAATACAACATAAAGCCAACCATTCACTCTAATTGCATGTTCATCTCAAGCTTCTCTCCGTCCATCTGTCGGCAAAACCTTGTAATTTTGTATTCTTCCTGACATTTAGATGAGACCAAAACCACTCCATTACTCCCACCCAGAAACATCAATTCGTCAAAAGCTTTCAAGGTTGAGATTTTGAGACATAGCCAAAGACAAGAACAACCTAAGTTGTTTGTGACTCAGAAGTTGCTCAGTGGACAATCAGCAACCAACACTACACTGACAGATGAGAACAGAAATCTGAGATGTAACATACAACACAAGAAACTACTGGATGCAGTGACAAACTGTTTTTTCTTTGTTAATATAATATGATCCGAGTGATATTCAAGGTAAATAAGTTTTATCTTGTTGGCTGATTTCCACTGAAGAATCTGCTGCTGAAGTGCGTTTGATGTTGATGTGCATAATTTTCTGCTGAATCGACATGCTTTTCCTATAGAAAGTGAGAAATCACATGGAGACATTGAGACTTTTTATCTATAGAGAATTCATGCACACCACACAATTCCTTCTTGTAGTGCTCATCACACTGTAGCAGATTCAAGATTTAATGACACCAAGAGTTTCTACTGTGATGCAAGTTGCTAATCACTCTGAAACAAAACCTTCTAAAAAATGCTGCAATTGTATGACAACCTTGTATATGTATTGTAGAACTTGAGCATTATTTGATCGAATGGGGAAGTATAAAGGCTCGAGAGGAGAAAATGGTGAGGCAGCAACATGTGGGAGAACAGAGACTCACATGAGAAGATCCACCAGCAAGCTAAATGGTGACTAATGATCACTTTGAAGCTAGTTGGGAAGATGAAGTTTATATTTCTCTTCATCAAAATTACTCCTTTAACAGCTTTTTTATATTCCCCTGTTGAGTCCGTCACCAACTAGAGACTGCTGAGAGCCAGGACCACTTTGATTGTGAGATAGCTTTCATGTGCATGAGACCACCACTTTTGATTGTGAGTTGGGTTTGATGTGCAAGAAAAATAGAAGTTGAAAGGAAAAAAGGTAAAGTGAAGGCAAAGTGAAGACAAGTGCTCCTAGGGTTCGGCTGTCCCCAACTTCATAGAGATAATATACCTTTTTAACCACCTTGAGTTGCTTCTCCTCCATCATCACTAATTGAAACATGACAAAAAATTTTGATTCATCCAACAAACACCAGGTTAACTAGTCCAACTCTTTCTCAAGGTCAACTCGTTGGTGGAAAAAGATGCATGTAGCCGGCATTAAACAGTTCAGGATCTTAAGGCTTGTGGCCCTTATCGTTGCTTTGGTACAAATTTGACTATTGAATCTTTTGGAAAAGATCAGATCGAAAACACTCTATAGCAATAAAAAAAAAAGGGTCTGTTCCAATTCTCCACCAAGAAGGAAAGTAGAGTTTGCTCGTGGCTGAATTTCCAAACTTTCAGTCTACTACCAAATTGATGATACCAAAAAGAGGTCACAAGGATATGTTCACTGCACGAAACCTTAACTCCTCCAAGAGTGCAGTAAAATTTAATATTGACTTCAACAAACAGAGAAAACAATCTATTTTGTGCCTAGTCCCTATCTGGATAAGTCAAGATACTTTTTCATTCAGTGTATGAGCAAACATCCAGCTATAGCAACAAATTCCATGCACACGGTACATTGCTCATCCAATTAAAGTTTTTGGTTTTCCCTATACAATTTGGTCCATGACATCCAAACTCACCAAGATAAACCTTTATACCTGCCCCTAATATCAAATGTTTCCCCCTTACAAAGCCATGGATCTTTTCCCCAAAAATGGAGCTCATTAATCAACGAAATCTCATTCCTCCGCGAAGGGGATTTGATTCACAACTTCCACCATTCATCATTGTCACCGTTAGGACGATAACACTAGGGAAACTAATTTACGTCAAGAAACATGGGAGTCCCTAAGCTTGAAGTCATTAATCAGTGATCCACAACAAAAATAATCTCTCACCACTGATAACAACTGCTGAACATATGACCTAGAATTTGGTTACGTCCGAGAAAGACTTACAACAAGTTGCTACTGGATTTTCCTCTTTCGTCTGCATCATTTCATTTGGGCGTCGAAGTCGAGGAAGGCGCCGCAGAGGTTATTCACCACCTATCGGGAGCGGCAAGGTTTACGGTTAGCATCTCCAATTGCACGCCCCGCACATTAGGCGGAGACGAGGCTAGACCGAGATGGAGATGGAGGACAGGCGTCGTGAAGAACTGTGCTCATGGGCTGAGCGGATTTGATCTTGTAATCTTGATGATGATGATGATAATAATAGTTGTAATTAAGAGAGTAATAAGTGTTGGCTTATAAGCAAAGTTCATTTATCAGGAAATGAATATAATTTAAGATTTGACCAAAAAAAATTTTATTCTATGGACTGTATATACGAAATAAAAAAGCTACCAAATTAAATTATATTTAATTTTGGAATCCTATTTAAGTGGAAATTGTGTTGGAACTCTACTATATTTTATGAGTGTAAGGATGATGACGAAGAAAACCTTTAAATTGGTGTCAAATGATCTATGAATCATTATCTTTTATTCAGTATAACGAATAAAGTCTGCAATCCATAGGTTTTTAAAAGCATATGTAATCTAAGAAATCATCAAACAACGCAAAGGTCAAAATGATGCAATTAAAAGGACGATCTGCCAATATCAATGATGATTGGTTAAAAAGAGAAATAAGTAATTCAAAATTTAAATTTAAAACCTGCGAACTCGATTGGGTAAATGAATATAAGTGGAGCAAACTCATATCCATATTAACATCTAATTTAAGATTCCAACGAGACATGATGAGCATACATCTACCAAAAATATTCCTCCAGATTCAATCTTCCTCTATACATGGCTTGTCACAAAATCCAGGGATTTAGCAGGGCAAATTATTCAGAAAAATAATTCACGTTAAGAACTTGCAGAAACGAGAACCTTGTTGCCAAATGGAACCCAGCAATGGCTATATAAACAGGGTTATGTTCTTCAAACTGTGCTAACAATCAAACAGGATGGATACCTCGAAGGTTCTTTTGATTCTCATTTCCCTTGCGATCCTCCTCCAAAGTTTAGAACTTGCTGATGCCTCTGTCCAAGACGAATGCAAGATTGTGGCGGCTGCAGATCCGAACGTGGACTACAACTTCTGTGTAACGTCGCTCCAGGACGATCCGAGGAGTGGATCAGCCGACGCGAAGGGGCTGGCCATCATCGCTGCCGACTTGACGGTGGCCAGTGCCACGAGCACCCTGTCCAAGATCGAGAAGCTGGTGGGAGACAGCAAAATTGATTCACCGACGAAGGGTTTGCTGAACCAATGCTCGAGCTTCTACAAGGATGCGGTCACGGCAGCTTCGGGCGCCGTTAAAGCCATCGGTTCAGGGAGCATGGGCGATGCGAAGAAGCAACTGACCGAGGCCGGCGACAAGCCTCAGGACTGTGATAATCTTCTATTTGAGGCCGGAAAGAACGATCTGCTGACAAAGGAGGACAATGACTGTACGAACCTGGCGAGCATTGCTCAACACATAGTCGCTAAGTTGCAGTGATCCTTCCTTTATCCATGCATGATTTTATCGCCTATAAAATGGACGAATCTAATAAATTTACTGTCCAACTGAGAAAAGATTACACATACATCCCTCCAAAGTGAATGATTTTTGTATTTATTCCTATAAATTTTAGTTATGCTTATAAACATATATGTATATGTATTACCTTTGCAAAATCTTAAAACTTGAGTATATATGTCATCATGGTCAATCCCCATTGTTAACATTTAAATGTTAACACACACACACACACATATATATATATATATATATAGCCTTCTCGAAACAGAAAATAATAATAATAACATTTTTGTTCTGTACTGCATATGGGCAACAGAAACAACCTGAACGCAACAAAGACCAACTCAAGTGTATAATGATATATAAAGATGGAATGAAGACTAACTTTAAAGGTATCCACTAAAAATATCTTAAATTCCAATATTTCAACTCCAAAATTACATTATATGCACTTTTAACTTAGCAGGCATAATCTCATAGAAGCAGATGCTAACACACTAAACACTATGTAACACAAACTAGTTGTCTGCCAAGATGATGTAGCTGTGAACATTAGTCTTCTATGTTAAAGGGAAACAATAATAACACAACATGAATAGAATCCTCCTTTGTGCCAAGAAGACGCTTCGGTAGGAAACAGGCACTACAACAATCATTATCCATTTGCATCGCAAGGTGCATTACTCATTTTATGTTCCAGAGATGCAAAGCTGCTCAAGCCAGTGCAACTGCACATTTAAATTAAGACTTGCAGTACAATACCAAAAAATATTCACTTGAATTCCCTACTACCTAGCAAGATTACTAATAATGTACAAAATATATCTGAGAATCTAGAAACGAACCTCATAAGTAGTTCGATCTTATTTACAAGTTTCAAAGACATTTTTCCTTTTTTTTTGACACCGCAGTTTCCTTGGGATCAGCTCACCTACTTTTTGTCCATCAAATTTAGTTTTAACCTAGAACAAACCTCTGTAAATTTTGCAAACACTGTGTAGAGCCACTTCTCTGAGCATTCAGCTAATCTTATTTCTGTTGGAGACTATAGGACGTTTCCCCCTACTTCAGCAAAGGGGAAATAATCGAGGGAAGATAATAATTACTATTATATGATGTTGGAACTTATGTTTTCATGTAACATAATACATTTGCCACTGATGAAAGTAAAAAAATATTTGAGAACCTGAGGATCTAATTCAAGTAGACTGTGAGGCTGCTGACTTAACTAGATTTGCATCTTGTGTTACCCAATGGCATTGAATACTCATGTGCTCTTTATCAGTTCATGGCAATATAATTACAGCTTAATCCCAAAATGCCATTGGCTCTCTCAAATGAGAAAGTGATCAATCATATGTTGTATAACATCTGCACCTTCTGAATGCTCGAAAGGATCCTTAACCTGTCCGATAACCAACAAGCAAAGAAAACAACAATGATAAGATTAACTACTGTCGCCAAAGAATGCTCACAATAAAAGAGGAAGAACCAGAAGCATAAGGGTGAGAAATGGTAGCAGAAGTGGTTGGAGGCAAGGACCTGAATGACACTGTGTGCAGTGAACCTCTGGATGCTGACATCCACTCTTTCCCAAGATAAGCGTGTGAGGCCCATTACTAGCATTTCTGCAAAACAAACATCTAGGTGTTCTAATGACTGCAGTTTCTTTTGTCAATACAACCAGAAACAAATTTTTTGCTTTAAGTTTAAACTGAACATAAGCAATTCATGCATGTGTTATGCAGAAGTCTAATAGCAACTACTGAATGAGGGTGTGTGTTGCGTGCACAATTGTTCATATCATTGTCCTAAAATGTCAACTTACCGATCCTAGAAAACACTATTGGTCTTCAACGCATTTTTTAAATGGCCCACAAGAAGAGGATGATAATTGTTTGCCAATGACTTGTATAAGGTATGCACTCTTATTTCACTGGTATGAGAATGCTTTTATCTGATCTGTTAGTGTTGGCAGCTTAGCTGCAATTCTCTTCACTCACTTTTATCTTTAGGGTCATACTGTCAGTTAACCATCATTACTTCACATACATGGTATGGTTCTATCAGTTCATTACACATCTAATAGATATTAAATTTCAACATTACAATACAATTGTCCATTTACTGCACTGTCTTCGCATAACTGTATCCAATAACAATCTCTTGTTTATAAAGCTTTTTCATACTACAGTTTCTACACAAAGCACCATTTATACATACAAGAAAAAGAAATGAAATAGAGATTGAAGAGAATCTTTGTAATAATATATATCGAAATAATTAATGGGTTCACCAGGGAGTTGCAACACCAAATAGAAGAACATGGTAAAAATAGCAAGTCAAGAAGAATGGACAAACTTATCAGGAGTGAAAGACTTTAAGGCACACAAAAAAAAGCTTCACATATGCAATTTATTCAATTTACCCTAAAACTAGAGGAAAGAATGATATTTACCTTCTATCATATCACAGTCACACTTGGTAAGCGAATCAGTAACGCACTTATCATTTATGCTTCCTGCTGAGTATTCTTCGTATACAATATGTGGGTATCTCTCATTCAAAGAATCTTCCCACCGGAGAAAACTGATATATGAAAGCACAGATATGGACTTCCTGATACCCACGGAGGTACTGGAAACAACACAATATTACCTCAGGCATATCAGAGTTATGTCTGATTGATGATGTCCTCCATCCAACTATGTCTTGTCATTTATGTTGGAAAACAACTAGACAGCTAATTAGATGTCTCAAAAACTATAGGAATGGAAACGCCCAGAAGTCAGCAAAAGGATACGATTATAGTCAAGTCAACATTGGAATAAGCCACTCAGCATTTAAATGCTTGCAGGGCAGACCTGGATTCATGGTTTTTCATTTTGTAACATGATCATGCTACCCACAAATATCATCTCATATTTTAAGAACCCAACCAAAGCAACGAAAACAAAGCAAAGATGGAAAATACATAAAATGAAGATCATCACAATCATCTGTGTCGGCATCGCACTGCTCTACCTCACCTACCTTCTCTTCCTTCTCCCTCCTCGACATCAACGATGCAGATGCCTCACCTGCCTCCTCTTCCTCCTCCAGTGATGACGCAAATGCAAAGCAACGCCAGAGGAGGAAGAGGAAGCAGAGTGGTGCAACACCGACGTAGATGCAAATACCTCACCTCCCTCATCTTCCTCCTCTGGCACCAACGCAGATGCCTTACCACTCTGCCTCCTCGTCCTCGATGTTTGGATCGACATTGGTAAGGCCAACTACCGTGTCGTTCTCGTCGACCACTACTATAACAATCTCCCACAACGTCACTATCCATCACAACCATTGAAATTACCTTTTTCTCATCGTTTTGGTGTCATTTATGCACATGCTATTACGTGTTGTATCTTCTGTAGGTAAAAATAATTTTAGGGTAAATGAGATTAAATGTTTCACTTTCATAACTATAAGAATTTCAATGTAAATTTTTTAAGTCTTGAGATCAGAATGCAAAAAGAGGTTTAACTACAGGGGGTAAACTAAAATTATCTCCCGAGATGAAGATGGAGGACAAGTGTCGTGAAGAAATGTACTAATGGAACGAGCGGATTTGTTTTTGTAATCTTGATGATGATGATGATAATAATAATAGTTGTAATTAAGATGGTAAGTGTTGCCATAAAACTAAAGTTCATTTTTCAGGAAATGAATATAATTTAAACTTTGACCAGAAAAATATTTTTTCTATGTACTGTATATACGGAAAAAACCTACAAAATTAAATTCTATTTAATTTTTGAATTAAAATAATATTAAATTATCCTATTTAAGTGGAAATTAAGTTGGAACACTACTAGTCAAAATAGGGTGGTTGATTTCTATGTGAGTGTAAGAATGATGATGAATAAAACCTATAAATTAGTGTCAAATGATCTATGAATCATTGAGATCCACTATCTTTTATATTTTATTCAATATAATGAATTAGACATCCATGGGTTTTTAAAAGCATTCATCTAAGAAATCATGAGATAACACAAAGGTCAAAATGATGCAATTAAAAGGTCGATATGCCAATATTAATGATGATTGGTTAAAAAAAGAAATAAGTAGGCCAAAATTTAAATTAGCATCAGAAAAATATCCAAAACTTGAGAACTCAATTGGGTAAATGAATATAACTTGAGCATGTTCATCCATATTAACATCTAATTTAAGATTCGATATTTTGCGAAATTGGTGGCGTTCCTATTAGCGTCTGCCGTACCGAGCCATACCGCCCGGTACGGGCGGTACGTACCGGTCCGACAGGTTTTCGGTATGCGGACCAACTGTTACCAGTCCGAGGCACTGTAGCACTGTAGCACTGCTACAGTGCTACAATGCTCGGTACACCTGGGTGTACCGCTCGGTATACCGTACCGTACCGGAACCGAGCCCAGATCGAAATACCGGTACAGTATGGTATTGCGAACCTTGGTTCCTATAAACATTTGCAAGTCACACGTTTTTCCCAAGGAGACATGTCTATACTATACCCCAGTGCCAATGGTGATGCAAAAAAAATTATTATCCTCTTGGGAGGCATTCTACAAAATGTAAATAATTGATTTGATCGAGTTAACATCTACCAAAAATGTTCCTCCAGATTCAATGTTTGTCTATAAATGGCATGTCACAAAATCCAGAGATTTAGCTAGACGAATTATTCAGAAAATTTCACATTAAGAACTTGCAGAAACAAGAACCTTGATGGCTATATAAAGAGGGTTATGTTCTTCGAACTGTGCTAACAATCAAACAGGATGGATACCTCGAAGGTCCTTTTGATTCTCATTTCCCTTGCAATCCTCCTCCAAAGTTTAGAACTTGCCGATGCCTCTGTCAAAGACGAATGCAAGATTGTGGCAGCTGCAGATCCGAATGTGGACTACAACTTCTGTGTAACGTCTCTCCAGGCCGATCCGAGGAGTGGATCAGCCGACGCGAAGGAGCTGGCCATCATCGCTGCCAACTTGACGGTGGCCAATGCCACGAGCACCCTGTCCAAGATTGAGAAGCTGGTAGGAGACAGCAAAATTGATTCAGAGACAAAGGGTTTGTTGAACCAATGCTTGAGCTTCTACAAGGATGTGGTCACGGCAGCTTCGGGCGCCATTAAAGCCATCAGTTCAGGGAGCATGGGTGATGCAAAGAAGCAACTGACCGAGGCCAGCGACAATCCTCAGGACTGTGATAATCTTCTATTTGAGGCCGGAAAGAACTATCTGCTAACAAAGGAGGACAATGACTGTACGAACCTGGCGAGCATTGCTCAACACATAGTCGCTAAGTTGCAGTGATCCTCTATCTATGCATGATATTATCGCCCATATTATGCACGAATCTAATAAATTTTCTGTCTAACTGAAAAAAGATTACACATACATCCCTCCAAAGTGAATGATTTTCGTATTTATTCCTCTAAATTTTAGTTATGCTTATAAACATATATGTATATGTATACCTTTGCAAAATCTTAAAACTTGAGTATATGTCATCATGGTCAATCTCCGTTGTTAACATTTAATTGTTAGTCAAAACCCTGATTGATTTAATGCTCAAAAAGATTATTATGATTATAAAAAAAATTTCGAGCATTTCAAATATTTTACATTTGCATATCTCTTTTTAACTCAAACCAGCTAATGTTAAATACAATTAATCATGGTTGACACTGAGTTTTTTGCATAGATGATAACATGCCGATGTTATGTTTCATAGCTAAAAGAGGCACAAAAATTAGTCACAACCTGGAAGTAGAGGTGTGGCCAATTGCATACTAAGGTACATGATGCACATCTTAACTTGCAAAACTAATGCATGTTCATCTTGGTCAATCATCTCTATAAGTTGTTAGCATGATTACCAAACTTATGAATATGATAAAATAATAACCAAAGTTAAAAAGAACAAACCTGTAATGGTTAGTGTCAGAATTGATGATACTCATGTTTGCATCAGTCTATCTGCATTATGACACAACCACGTTAGTCATGTCTAAATGGTGTAAATGGATAAATAAACAAAAAAAAAAACCTTGTTGAAAGTTGAAACAAAAATTAATAATAATAAATTTTTTGTTCTGTACTGCATCTGGGCAACAGAACCCACCTGAATGCAACAAAGACCAACTCAAGTGTATATGATCGAGAAAGATGGAATGAAGCCTAACTTTAAAGGTGTCCACTAAAAATTTCTTAAATTCCAGTATTTCAACTCCAAAATTACATCATATGCACTTTTAACTAAGCAGACATAATCTCACAGAAGCAGATGCTAACACACTAAACACAATGTAACATAAACTATTTGTCTGCCAAGATGATGTAGCTATGACCATTAGTCTTCTATGTAAAAGGGAAACAATAATAACACAACATGAATAGAATCCTCCTTTCTGCCAAGAAGACGCTTCGGAAGGAAACAGGCACTACAACAATCATTATCCATTTGCATCGCATGGTGCATTACTCATTTTATGTTCTGGAGATGCAAAGCTGCTCAAGCCAGTGCAACTGCACATTTAAATTAAGACTTGTAGTACAATACCAAAAATATTCAGTTGAATTAACAACTACCTATCAAGATTATTAATAATGTACAAAATATCTCTGAGAATCTAGAAATGAACCTCATAGGTAGTTTGGTCTTATTTTACAAGTTTCTAAGACATTTTTCCTTAATTATGACACTACAGTTTCCATTAGATCTGCTCACCTACTATTTTTCCATCAAATTTAGTTTTACCAAGAACAAGCCACTTTGTAAATTTTGCAAACGCTATGTAGAGCCACTTCTCTGAGCATTCAGCCGATCTTATTTTTGTAGCAGACTAGGATGTTCCCCCTACTTCAGCAAAGGGGAAATAATCAATCACAAGCTTGATTAGTTTCTGCTTTGTCATCAGATATATGTATGTATGTATTCCCGGAACATCTCTCCAGAGATGAACTTTTGGAAATCTCAACTGGGTCTTGGAATCAAAAGATCTACCAGCAAATTGACTAGCTCTCCTAAGGCAAGCAAATTAAATGAGAGTTATGTACACAAGAATGTAGCAATGCCACTGCTCATTGATTAAATCCTTGGTCATAAAAAAACAATAATATCTCAAACATATATCAAATTAGATGTGAGATTAAAATATTCAAGAAATATTGCATAAATATTATAAAAAGTTAAAAGTACAGAAATCAAACACCAGACCAACCAAGCTAAATGAGACAAAACCATTCTGCACAAAGATAAAAAATAACAGAAAAATCATCTCAAGAATATACATAATTCCTTCTTATAAGTACTCATTTGGTTCAAGTTTGTTATGTTGACTGAAATTATGCAAGGGCCATATAAAGAACTACAGTGGTTACCTCTGGGAAAGGTAATATAAGGAAATGTGATCAACAAATCATGAGAATTAGAAGATGAACATCGTGCATGAAGATCTAGCTTATCAGATCGGATAGGACAACAAAACAATTAAATTATAAAAAAATAAAAATAATGAAAATGGGGAACTATTTTAAACGTTCTTGTTTTGTTACCTTTGATACTTTTTCCAAAAAAAAATTATTTTCTATTCATGTAATATTATTTTTAATATGTTAAAAAATTCTATAGAATATTCTTAATTAATTTTTTTGCACCATTATAATTCTCCTTGACATTTAAGATTATATATATTATATAGACACTACATTGTTATATGTCTTCTTCAATCTATTCTATAATTATATGCTATATAAAATTATAATGTGTTTTATAGATCAGTAAGTTATATAATCATATAGTATAATGTATAGAAGATATACATTATATAATATATATATATATATATACTTAAATGGATGTATATAACTAAACACGTATTATCAACTAAATCTTACCTCCTAATTGAGACCTCTCAAGACTTGAGCTCAGCCTAGGGCCATACCCAGAGTGACAAGGTGCACAGCCAATGGCTGAATTGGCAAAAAGTGAAAAGTGCTGACAGTGGTCACTTCCCGATTACGCCTACACACTTCCATAAGAAAAAGAAAACAGCTGATAGATCTAAAGACAACCGACAAACAAAGCTCTTAGGGTGAATCTGGATTCTGACTATTGGCGAACAATGCTCGTGTAATTAGATTTGCCCTCCACCTCCGCAGACCAGAGAACAGTGATCGGAAAAAGACTGACAGTACAGATCTACCCTCCTCCGCTCCCATGTTCCTCGCCTGGAATCAGATCTAGTCTCCTATTTTCTCAAATCAATCCGGTCCACCTCCTTCCTCCACTTCCCTATCTCTTCCTTTCTCTTTTTTTCTGTTTTCAACACTTAACTGGAATCTGATTTTTGTCAGGGATGACCTGTCGGATAGCAACCTTCCAAGTCATAATTGGATAACATTGGCTGGGATCAGCTGATTTTGGGGCAGATCTCTGCTCATTTACTGAAATCATATTATGATTCTAGGCTTAAAAGACAAGCATATCTTACCAGGTACATAAGTTGTAGTGGGTAACTCATAAAGAGTAAGATTTGCAACCGAAGAAAAACATTGACTTCTAACTTCGAATGGTTTTCTCATATCCACTAAAAAGGACCACTTCAATGCATCAGTAGTTATGCCTATTAGTATGTCGGTAGTGACAGTACACTTTATAGAATATAAACATAATAAAGGTTCAATGATAATATAAGCACCATAACATCAAGTAACAACAATCACTAAGATTTCTTTTTTCACAATGTTTGAATAATAAATTTAAACTTACTAATTTGAAGCACAAATGCATGTCAAGAAAGAAGTGACAGAACAAAATACTAATGAATGGTTTTCCTCTGTGCTTAACCCAGATAAAACATCTGCAGCCAAACTTTTCTTAGATAGGCAATCTGAAGGATTCAGCAATGGTTAGAGGTGATTGACAGCAGTTAACAACCCTTGACCTGTCAAAAGCATAATATGGACATGAAATTTTATCTTCCTTAGAGTAACCAAGTAGCCTGACTCCAAGATGCATATACTTTCTTTTTCGTTTCCTGGAAATAATAATAATCTTCTCAAACAATTTAGTGAAAAATACATTTCAATTTACCCTTTCTAACCTGGTCATACAAAGAACTGTTTTCATACTTCTTTCAGTTCTTGCATATTAAACAGTATAAAAACATGAAGCAACTCTAATGGTGGCACTTAATATCTCACATATGTGCAGCCTGCAAAGCATCTACGCTCGCTTCGTCATCACCCATCCCATCCTTAGTTTCATTACTGACTGATCCCAGAAGTTCTTCTTTAACTTTAAATAAATTACTCTCCCCTAGAGGGGCCAACATAAGGGTGTTCTTTTTGTAGTTCCAGACTAGTAAGGAAACATAATCTTGTGGTGTTATAAGCCCCTCTTCCCTAAGGCAACATCGCTGCTCCTCTAGGGTTTTGGGATCCAACAGTCTTATGTATTCCAAAAGAAATTTCTCATGATCTGGCCTCCACCCACTTGGAAATGGGGTATAGTCTGCTTCAGGAACCAGAGACATCCGGGTATAATGAAGACCATCAATCGAGTCCAGAAGACCCATCCTCAGAAGGTTTTGATACTCAGGTGACTGCCCTTTTTTATCCTTCAACGGACGGCTAAGATTCCTTGACCCAATCTTGTAGACCTTTGCCCTAGACCGAAGCTTGTACTTCGCAGCATACAGCTTGGCCAGTGATCCCCTAACGATATAAGAACAAAAGTTCACGACCTTCTTGCGGTTATCAGCGTATCGGTACCACTCTGCCATAGTTTGCAAGAACTTATTCATCTGGGCATTGGTGTGTGCCTGTGTTGCATGAAACATTCTGAAACAAGGCTGTGGATCAGGATCCCGATCTCCTTTAAGGAACTCCAGCTTCCTGAACTGTTTGATGCATTGTTTTAGACTTGCTGTGACTGACAGAAGTGTACCTACACCTTTCTCACTGATGATTTTCCCCCCAGTCGCTGTATACCTTAGCGTAGGGTATACCACCCTGCGGCAAAGTACATGATCCAGAAACATGATCCCCTTGGTGATGTGCTCGATTGGGAGACTCTCATTGTCAAGCTTGAGCTGGTACCTTTGGTCACAGAATTCAATTAGCTGTTTCCTTAGCACTGCAGCATCTGCACGCGGACCTCTAACACCAATTAAGAAATGACCACCATACCGAACATAGTCCATCTTTCTGGTCTTGTCAGGCCCACTTGTTGGAACAAACTCTGGCCATGAGGTGTTCCCCTGCTCAACATCATCCCCAGTCCATATTGCGTCGGACTTTGATGGCCGATAGAACTCCTTAATCTTCCCCTCCATCCATTTGTCAAGTTCATCGAGACACACATTGGCGAGCAAAGGGCTTAAGGCCCCGCAATGCCCCCAATTTGGCTGCTTCTCAGCCTCCTCCGGTGCAAAGCCAAAGAAGGTCTGAAGCCAGTATGGATCAGGCTTTGGCTCATCTTCGGCCAAGACCCTCTTTTTCTGATACTTCCTCTTCGTTTTCTTCTTCTTAGCAGCCTCCTTGTCCACGGGGCGACCAGTGATCACAGGGGTGGTAAGGGCAGATTTGATCAAGTCGACGACTTTCTTGTCCCTAACATCCCGGATCAACCCGTTGATGATCAATCCAGTCGGAAGGCCATCAAGAATGGTGCTGAGGTCGCCTTTTATGTACCACAAGTAGCCGGCGAAGCTCCTCCGGATGGTCCGGATGACGGTGTGGGCGTTGCGGCCGGGGCGGAAGGCGAAAGACTTCTGTGAAAAGCGGGCTTCAAAAATGGGCTCAAGGATCATGAGGAGGACTTCCTGGACCACGCGGTCCTGGAAAGGCGGCGGCTGGGCAGAGGTGAGGAGGGCGCGGAGCTTGCGCTTGGAGAGGGTGGCGGGGTCGGTGGTGTCGCGTGGGGAGCGAAGGAGGACGTCCAGGCGGACGCCCCAGCGGAAGCGGCCATCGAGGACGGCGTTGCGGAGGGCGAGGAGCGAGTGGAGGGCGGAGCTGGGGACGGATGACTTGGGGAGGTAGGAGCCGGTTTCGTCGGCATATGCCTTCTGGTACGCGAGGACCCAGAGCTCGAGGCGGCGAAGGAGGGGGGTGAGGCTGGAGGCAGTGGCGGAGGGGTCGCGGAAGCTGTCGACCCATAGCGCGGAGCAGATGGAAATGGGGTCGTCGCGTAGGAGGGAGGAAGGGTCGTCGTAGGCCGTCGAGAGCGGGTCCGTGGGGTGGCGGCTGCGATGGCCGGGAAGGAGAGCGGGATGCACCTGCGGCGGCGGCGGCGGCGGGCGAGGGGAATAAGGAGGGACTCGGGGCAATGCGGAGGCAGCGTAGGAGAGGAAGCGGCGGTGGCGACGGAGGAAGGGGAGGGAGAGGTGGCGGTACATCGAAGATAAGCGGGTGGAACCCTAACCGGAAGATGGAATCAGGCCATCTGCAAACCCTTCATGGGTTTAAAGGAAGAGACAAATCTGGTTTTTATTTATTTATTTATTTTCTTTTTTAAAATTGTTTATTTTTGCGAGTTGAAGACGAGACTTATTTCTGTTCAACAGATCGGCTATTTTTAGTATCTAAAAACAAATTGATATCTTTTAACTGAATTTGAGTTATTTTAATTTACATTTATAATGTCAAGCTATTAGTATTTACTACAATCCACTTAGACGATGAGTTTAAATCGAAAACTAAATCTCCTAACAAAAAAAGATGAGAGGTTACACAAGAGCGAGCCAACCCAAGTTATGGCGGAATGATTAAACCATGGTAACATCCACCTGAGCTGATATGATCATATAAATGGCACAGTAGAAAAAGAAAAATAAGGGTAGATAAAATTACTATTATATGATGTTGCAACTTATGTTTTCATGCAATATAATACATTTGCCACTGATGAAAGTAAAAAAAAATATTTGAGAATCTGAGGATCTAATTCAAGTAGACTGTGAGGCTGCTGACTTAACTAGATTTGCATCTTGTGTTGCCCTATGGCATTGAGTACTCATGTACTCTATAACAGTTTCCTGATGATTTGAGTAGTTCCTGGCAATATAGTCACAGTTCCATCTCTATATATCATTAGCTCTCTCAAGTGAGAAAGTGATCAATCATATGTTGTATAACATCTGCACCTTCTGAATGCTCGAAGGGATCCTTAACCTGTCCGATAACCAACAAGCAAAGAAAACAACAATGATAAGATTAACTACTGTTGCCAAAGAATGCTCACAATAAAAGGGGACGAACCAGAAGCATGAGTGTGAGAAATGCTAGCAGAAGTGGTTGGAGGTAAGGACCTGAATGACACTGTGTGCCCCGAACCTCTGGATGCTGACATCCACTCTTTCCCAAGATAAGCGTGTGAGGCCCATTACTAGCATTTCTGCAAAACAAACATCTAGGTGTTCTAATGACTGCAGTTTCTCTTGTCAATACAACCAGAAACATTTTTTTTGCTTTAAGTTTAAACTGAACATAAGCAATTTATGCATGTGTTATGCAGAAGTCTCATAGCAACTACTGAATGAGGGTGTGTGTTGCCTGCATGATGGTTAGTATCATTGTCCTAAAATGGCAACTTACCAATCCTGGAAAACACTATTGGTCTTCACCACACAAGAAGATGATGATAATTGTTTGCCAATGACTTGTATGAGGTATGCAGTTGTATTTCACTGGTATGAGAGTGCTTTTATCTGATCTGTTAGTGTTGGCAACTTAGCTGCAATACTCTTCAGCCACCTTTTTTTTAGGGTCATACTGTCAGTTAACCATCATTACTTCACATACACGGTATGGTTCTATCAGTACATTACACATCTAATAGACATTAGATTTCAACATTACAATACAATTGTGCATTTACTGAACTGTCTTCGCATAACTGTATCCAATAACAATCTCTTGTTTGTAAAGCTATTTCATACTACAGTTTCTACACAAAGCACCATTTATACATACAAGAAAAAGAAATGAAATAGAGATTGAAGAGAATCTTTGTAATAATACATATCGAAATAATTAATGGGTTCATCAGGGAGTTGAAACACCAAATAGAAGAACATGGTAAAAATAGCAAGTCAAGAAGAATGAACAAACTTTTCAGGAGTGACTAGGCACAAAAAAAAAGCTTCACATATGCAATTTATTCAATTTACCCTAAAACTACAGGAAAGAATGATGTTTACCTTCTATCATATCAGAGTCACCATTCGTAAGCAAATCAGTAACGCACTTATCATTTCTGCTTCCTGCTGAGTATTCTTCGTATACAATATGTGGGTATCTCTCGTTCAAAGAATCTTCCCACTGGAGAAAACAGATACATGAAACACACATACGGACTTACTGATACCCGCAGAGCTATTGGAAACAAAACAATTTACCTCAGGCAGATCAGACTTACGTCTGATTGATGATGTCCTCCATCCAACGATGTCTTGTCATTTATGTTGGAAAACAACTAGAATTAGATGTCTCAAAAACTACAGGAATGGAAATGACCAGAAGTCAGCAAAAGGATACGATCATAGTCAACATTGGAATAAGCCACTCGGCGTTTAAATGCTTGCAGGGCAGACCTGGATTCATGGTTTTTCAATTTGTAATGTGATCATGCTACCCACAAATATCATCTCATATTTGATGAACCCAACCAAAGCAACAAAAACAAAGCAAAGATGGAAAATACATAAAATGAAGATCATCGCAATCATCCACCATCCGTTGCAGCAATGGAGGCATTCCTTTGTCATCATCGGTTAGAAAAAGATGCTTGCCGGTTCTTCTAAATATCCAGTGTATGACACAAGAAGCAAGTTTTTCAATAGCAGTGACACCAAAAAGAAATGGAACCTGTGAATGATCCCCATGTGAAAAACTAGAATGCAGTAATACAATAAAGCATAGTATCATATGTATGTTGACAGCCATGAAACACAATTTCTGATAAATAATAAGTTTAACATATGGAACAACCTTTAACCTTTACTCAGACTAGCATTACCCATCATGTCATTGAGATGATTTACAGGACAACTCTCACTCAACAGAGAAAACACATTGACATTACAACATAAAGCCACCTAAAGGTGGAGATAACGAATTACCTACTATGAGTGATGCTAGACAATGTTAGAAGTAAATATACTGGTCCATACCGATCTACCGAGTGTCAGTATGCTGGTACATACTAAGTCTCAGAAAAAAAAAGAAAGAACTGTAAAAAAAAAATAACTGTCCAATACAAGACCTACATCACCTTGTATTGGATGTGGCACTCTAGTCTATGTATCAATAAGTTGTCAGACCAGTATTTACCGCTCGTAATGAATCCTACCAAGCGGTATTGCAAACCTTGATTAGAAGTTCACCAAAAAGTCAATAAGTTCCAGAATATTACAGAATGGAAGTTTTGAGGCCAAGTATAAACTAAATTTGTGAGGAAAAAGGGGGGGTAATCCAAATAAAGGTAAAAGTTGTGGATTTAGATCAATCAAAATGGGTATACTGAAAGGAGAATTGCATCCCAAAATGATCAAGTCCTGCATGTAAGAAAATAACTGATGCGATTTAATTCTGTAAAGGACTTGATTCCCTCTGATTTTCATTGAAACATCTCCAAAACCTCTAATGCTTGTGATTTTAAAGAGAAATCAGCAACACATGGACATAATCACTCGAAGAACACCCTTAAGTCTCTTGTCAACACCCATATAACTATCATCAACACACGAATAATTGGTAGACCAATACACATGTACATTATTTGTCATATGGGCAGAGAGAATATTTTTACCAATACTAGTGTGTGAGACTTACAAAACCTGATGTAAAGTGGAGATTTTTTACTTAAATAACCCATTCCAGTTTTGAGAAAATATCTTTATTTTTTTAGATGTTTATTCCATGCGTGCACATTTAACAGTAAAACTTTGACAGGACACATTGCTGAAATGTGGTCCCTGGATGTTTGATAATATATTTTCTGAACATAGTAGCAACAATCTAATTTAGATGATGACAAAAAAATATGAGTCTGATGACTTATAAAATTTCCTAATCTCTCTGTAATTCATATTCATTCTGCAATATGCTCAATTAGATGATAGAGATTCTCACTCTAGAAATCCTAGACATCCAAGAGTTGAGTGCTGTGACTGCTTGAAAGAAACTCCTACTTAATCCTTAACTGTTCAACAAGAATTGAGGATAAACCTTTGTACTGTGATCCTAACGGCACATATTCTCTTTTTTTTATGGTTAAAAAAATTCAAATTGTCAGCTAACTATTGAATTTGTCAAACCATAAAATGAATTTTCGATATGTATATTGGTATGTGATGAATATCAAGAATAAATTCTATACTCCTCTTGATCATCATTCATCCCTTGCTTAACAATATAAGGATCTAGATTACAGAGAACAGGCTGTAATATTAGTTGAGTTTTCCTAAACAAAAATTGGTATCTTTTCATATATATGATTGCCCTATTATTCATCTTTTAATAGAAAAATATGACCTATTTTTTGGTTGTGGGTGGACACACCATCACTGCAAATCACATTCTATTGGATCATAATGTTGGGACATTACAACTTGTTGTTGATGTTGTATTTGATAAGTCACCAATACATGTCCAATATGTAAATACAAATCTGACACAATCCATAATGCAGTCCAGATAATCTAGGTAATACTATTTATTAAGCTCAAGTAGATTATCATTCTTAAGCAATTTCCTCCTGACTGACCCACCATTATTGGGACCCTCATGGTCTTTTGTCTAACCTGTTGCCAAGCCACATTTAACTTCAATCGGCCAAGTTGGTATTATCTCCTGCCCTTGCCCTATCTTGCAACAGAGCATTTGATTTAAATTCGATTACAATTTCCATCCAGCTAAATATTTACAAGCATATGAATAAGACTTGCATAAACTAGGTAAAAGATATGAAAGGATACCTGTTTGTTTCCCCTAGAACCAAGATGAGGTGTCGCTACTGTGATGAAATTCATTGCTAGCAAACCACAGATACTGCCTGTTTGATTGTCATCACAGACAGTACACCGAGGGTTGTCCAGAGATTTCCATTTAGGAGATTTGTATAGTCTTCCAATTGCATATCTTGCTACTAATCCTCCAACTGAGTGTGCAATAAACGAAATCTTTCGAAGATTTGGCCTTTTGTTGATTACTTCAGTTACCTTGTTAAGTAGGTTGTGTCAAAAGACTATACAATGAACAAGAACTTTAGAAATCAATGTTCATGTTATGTAAGAGAGAAACTAACCTCTTCCGCTAGTCTCTCACCCATAACATCAACACCATCTAATGTTAGTTTGTACATGTTTCTTTGACTACCTACAGGAAAAACAAGCATGTAAATAGCCTGGATGATAACACAACAATGAAAACTTCATCAGAGTTTAATGCATGTGTACAGCATAAAAAAAAAAAAAGAAACCATATTGTTTGGTCAGCTAATCCAACATATACCAGAGTGGACGTCAAAGAACAAGAAAGACAAATATGGAATTCTAGAAACATAAAACATGGTGAGTGTCACCAAAGCCGTGCCAAATTCTCCACTCTCAATATAATATAGAATACAAAATTTCTTCTGATAAACTTATTGACTGTCCAACAGACAACATTAATGTTGGCATTGAATCTTTGAGTTAGCAACCATGCCAAATTTTCCATTCTCTAAGTATAATATAGAACCCCAAAATTTCTTATGATGACCTTCTTGATTGTCCAACAGACAATATTCATGTTTTTTATTGAATCTTTGAGTTAGCAAAATCAAAGCTTTACAACACTTTCATGTAAAAGTGAATAATCGTCAACAAAAGCAACGGATATAGCAACACTAAGGACAAGGTATATTTGAAGCAGCAATACATCAACAATAGATCTAATGGTGAGACAACTAAGATTTTTAATGTGTTACGTTGCAAGATAAAAATCAGGTTTGAAGGCTATTATATGGCAACTACCACTAGAGGATGAGATATAAACCAAAAAATCTTGACAACAGAGAATGATCAAAACCCATATTTTCTGTCCACCTTTAGTGATTTAAGAGTGAAGAGAAGTTTTTTGAAAAACAAAAAAGAGTGAAAGAGAAGTTTTACCTAAGGACCAGAGTTTTAGGAAAGAATTCTTGAAAGGATAAATAGACTAGCTAGAATTTTATAGTTGGAAAATGTTCCTAATAAAACAAAAATGCCAATAGATATGATAGTCCATTCAGTAGGTTAAAATGATTATAGTCTACAAATATGTACTCATCTATGAGAAGAGAAGAGCATTAAACAAGTTTTTCACGTTTTAGGGCATCAAAGTCAGGTTGGTTCTTGGAATCAAACCCATTGGTTATTTCAGGTTATTTAAAGCTGGCAATCTAGTCAAATATATTGGGCCTGAGGAAGTCTTCTCATCATATGGAAGACTAAGTCAGGCATGACTCTGCCTGACTTACTGTTCATTTATGCAGAACCATACTAAGTCAGGCAGGATCAATCACAATGGCCAGGAAATACTTTTTGACTTTTTCTTTTCATTTTCTTGTCCGGCTATAAGGATCTAATATTACCAAAAATTTTCCAATCACTTGATGTTGATGATATCAATTTTCTCTGAAAGAAGTAGGACAACACTTTTTCCTCATGTCACTGAAACTATGATTTTGAGAGGATGAGAGGAAAAATAGATTTACTATCACCAGATAATAGATAAGCATCATTAAGAAAAAGAAGTTGACGAAAAAAACCACTTACAATGAACTATCACTTTATCTGGAAGCATCTTAACAAACTGGTCAGCCGCAAACTTCCAGTCAGCAGTGCTGCAACCCATAATTGAAAAGCTTTGCTTAAGACAGAATAGAACATGTAGTAAAGCAGACCAAAAACCACCATTTATATTATTCCAGCCAATGATGACTACAAATGTAACAGATATTTTAGTTGGAAACGAACTGATCATCACGTTAACTAAACAAATCTGATAAGACATGGTTGCAAGTAACACTCCTTGAACAAGAGTCATCACAGAGGAATCAAGTTATTTTTATTTGTGGTTTATCTTCAGAATTATATAAGAAAACATTTATGAACTCTAAAAAGGCATCATTTTGCACTGGAAGAAGATTATAACTTGCACAAAGAAGGAGAAAGACTATATATAGGAGATATGAGTTCAAAAGCCCTAAAATTAGCATCTTGAAAACCCCCTTCCCTCAATTTCTACCGTATCAAGCTAAAGGAGTCATATTCCTAAATTTCAATCACTTTGTTTCTTAACTTACATGTATTCCTTGATCATTCATCAATTAGGACAACACCTGCACGTAATTCGAACGAGGACACCCGCCAAATGGATGACGCTTCTTAGCACACAAGAACTCGACAAAGGTTTCAAAAAAAGAATTCAAAACAATTTAGCCGAAAGAAAAAATCATGACAAAAAAAAATTCCAACCTTGATACCCTGTCCAAAATTCTGAAAGAGGCAAAGAAACAATGTGCAGTATGAATTCGATATACGTGTGCATAAAAAGCTTAAGGCTAAACGCCAGCTCGATTCTGAAACGCGTGCCATTATCCAAAAGAAACCACAATTCCCATTCCATCGATTCAATTTCACTCGAAATCCGAATAGAAACGCAGCTGAGAGACGGTCCCAAGAACAAACAGCAAGACGAGAACAGCCGGAATCAAGATAAAACCACCTACCTCCCGAGGATTCCGTGGACCATCACCACCAAGTGATCCGCGGACGCCGCATCGGGGCCGGATGAGTTCCAGACGTCGGTCCCGCCTCCGACGTCGCCCATCGCTCCGCTTCTCTCACGCGACCATACCAAGATCGATCACGATCAAATCAAAACCCTCCGATAAAAATAAGACAGAGAGAGAGAGAGAGAGAGGGAGAGGGAGAAGGGGGAATGGATCGAGCAGAGTCCGCAAGAGGCAAAGTCGTTGGGGGACAGTGCAGAGGACGAGGTCCAAGGATCGAATAAATATAAATATTAGATAATTGGAAAAAAAAAGGGGAAATTAGAGAGACAGAAACAGTATTTATTGCATCGTCCGCGTGCGGTTTAAGATATAGTCGGTGGGCGTACCGAAAGGGTCGGCCCGGCGTATACGACCAGAGAACTCGCGGTAGGTATGGCGTTACGGACGTTATAACGGCGAAATTTCCGTTTGACGTCGGGTCTCGGTGGCTCGTCCCCGTTATGACGTCGTAACGTGCGACACGATGGTGATGGTATCGTCGTAACGGTTCTTGCCTCGCCTGTAATATAATCAGAGCCGCCCATCATGATCGTCTCCGTTACCGATTCGGATGTGGACGGCGTCGATTATCCCATCAAGCCGCGCAAGCAAAGGAGCCCACTCTATACCGGTGTTTGTGATTGGGAGAAGTAAACACATGTTCTTTATCCTAAGGAACATAGTGATAAATAAATCAGTATATATATATATATATATATATATATATATATATATATATATATATATCCTTGGTAGGAATAAAAGAGTAAACTATGTTCTGTATATTTCTATAAAGATTTAGTTATTCTTCTATTTATTATTATTATTAATTAATTACTTAAAAATTAACAAAGTGTTAGGTGTTTTAAGACAAAACAACTATTTTATTCTTGGAACCCAAATTCTTGGTATTTATTTTTTATGAAATGATTTGTGAATTAAAATATTTTTTAGTAAATTGTTAATCATTATTATTATTTTAAATGGTCAGTGATGAAAACAAGTTTTAATCCCAAAATTTTACTAGTTAAGCTAGATGAAGTCCTGAAAATAAATCAAATAAGATTTTAAATCTTTATTATTATTTTTTTAAGCGAGTTTGGTATGTCACCACCATTACTAATGTTTCATGTATGAAAATTTATGTACCCTCAATATTTACCAAGTAGATTTGTCATGCTATTAACAGAGTAATATTTTAGACATAAAAATTATTTTTAGAACTCTCAATATTTATCAAGTGAGTTTGATGCATTTTTCTCTAAATACAGTTCAGACAAAATTGATAATATTCTTCCTCTCTAACAGGAGCCATACTCTCAACCACTCCAATGTGATGTGCCACCAATGATTTAAGCTAACAAAAAGCACTATAGACAATGCAAAAAATCACGTGCACATAAGGATAATGGCTTAGCGGATTTACATGCAAGTAAACAAAGTGGTTTGTTCAGTCATACTTGTGTAATCTGGGGTTTATGTTTAGGTAGAATGACATTAATAGGTAGATAATGAATAGAGAAATTATAGATTTGATCACCACAATATTCTACCATAATTTAGAACCCACTAATTATATGTAGAATACAAACTAATCAATCAGCTTCGATTGAGTGACATCACAAATGCATGCTTTTGTGCATGGGACCTTCCCGTCGGATTCATCGATCTGTGGCCAGTACAGCACTGATCGTGCATAAAACCCCATCACGTTACCACCGTCTCCGTGCCTTCACTTCCCGCTTCTCATCTTCATCATGAAAGCCGCAGGAGCTAATAATCCCTGCTCTGCTTCTTCTTCTTCTTCTTCCTTCTCCTCCTCCTCTCGCTGCTGCTCTTCGTCGTCCACCGGCTTTTCCTCCACCATCAAGAGAGAAGCTGAGGCAATTGGTGGCAAGGAGAAGAAGGAGCAAGGCAGCGGCGGCAAGCACTCATCTTACCGCGGCGTTCGGATGCGTGCCTGGGGTAAATGGGTGTCGGAGATCCGTGAGCCGAAGAAGAACTCGAGGATCTGGCTCGGAACGTTCCCCACCGCTGAGATGGCCGCCCGGGCGCACGACGTGGCGGCGCTGGCCATCAAGGGGCGGTCTGCGTACCTCAACTTCCCCGAACTGGCTTCCCAGCTGCCGCGCCCGGCGTCGTCAACGCCCAAGGACATCCAAGCGGCGGCGGCGCTGGCTGCCGCCACCGCGGCCGGCGACCACAGCTCGAAGACCGAGACCTTATCGTCGCATTCGCCTGCTGCTACGCCGACGCCCAGCGACGACGGCGCGCTCTTCGACCTGCCTGATCTCTTGCTCGATCTGAGAGAGGACTTCTGCTACTTCGCGTCATGGGAGGCTTCGATAGCGGAGGATGGCTTCGAGCTTAAGTTCGAGGAGCCATTCTTGTGGGAATAGCTCACTTCTCGAGTTATACTGAAGACCTAGCCTTCTGTTGTTCCATTAAGGGTCTCAATGGACATCTCAAACACAGCTCAATAAGAACAATACAAGCGAGTGTGATGTAGGCATCGAATTCTGATGTTTGAGATACGAAATGGAATCCACGTAGGTGGATTTTACTACCTCTGTTTCTTTGCTGCACATGGAAAGATTTGCTTCTCTCTTTGGATCAAGAACTCGGCATGGAAATAATTGAGTACATCGCTATCCATGATTTGGTCTCCCTTTCTGTTGAGGAATCGGTACGCCGGCCCTACATGATGATTACGATGTCATTTGGTGGGATGACAAGGAAGACCTGTGTCTTGCTTTACCTAGTGGCAAAAACACTATTTTTCTCGTCTCTGACAGTCATGGAGATCATTCTCCGTCTTTAACTCAGTTCTATCAACCAGCCATGTATCTGTTATATGCTGACAGTGACGTGTGGTTGGAGGTCGATGTAATGTCGGTACATGCAAGCTGAGTAAATCTACATTCACAATTTTATTAGCATTCAGACAATCGACCAAGTAGCATCCAAAAAGAACTGTAGACAGATAGAGATAGATAGATAGATATATCAAGAGAGAGAGAGAGAGAGAGAGAGAGAGAGAGAGAGAGAGAGAGAGAGAGACAGATGAATCATCTACGTTAACGTATGGGCAGACCATGCTCAGAGAGACATTTGTGGGTACAAAGAGAGTTCGTATAAAAACTCCTGTTCAGTAACCTAGGTCATAACTCAAACACAAGCAGTTAGTTGGATACTGCAAACAAGGGAAATGGTTGATGAGATCCAAAGAGGACTCTACTACTTCTTTAGTTTGCTTCCGTTAGATATACCAGCAGAGAAGATGGAGTAATTACAGTAAAATGTCACACTGGTGTCATCAGAATGGTACTAGGGACAGTGTCCCAGCCTCCAGAATGAATCCAAGAGCAGCTAAGGAGACCAAAGATGCATCATTTTCTGCTTGATTAAAGAACTAAGGATGGTCCTCTTTGGAAGCTGGACCAAAGGTCAGCACAAGCAAAGATAAGGTCCCTCGTTGTTTCACGAGGAGAATGCATGGGTATTACTGAAGCTAGGCTGTCTTACCACTTCTCTCCTCCATCAATCATGGGGACATGAAAGGAGGAGGCATCACAGATTCTCTTCTTGGAAGGGACTCCGAAGTACACAATAGTCAACATTTTTTGCACTGTGTAATCTCAACATATGCAATCCATGTGTACATCATGTTTCAAAAGATGACAATGAACTGCTCTGACATTAAACTTACAGGGAAAATTCCATCCCACTGTCCTGCTGCAAAGTGGATACTATGCTTATTGATGATGAAATAAATACCTTTTCTTTTGTAAACAAGAAGACAGGTGGGAAAACAAAAGAGGTGAGTGAGAGAAGGAAGACAAACACAAAAGAAAAATAAATAAGATAAAAGAAAGTAAACACGCATGGTGGTGATCAAAGATAAACTTCATGCACAAGCTCCACAGGGTTCACTACAGTTTGGATACATGTGGATGAACTTTTGGAGTACCCTTATCAGAACTTAATCTCAAATTGACTGAGGCTGCAATAACATTTTCAGAATATTTTTATTATAACTTGTTTTTTAACAAGACATCAAATTATATAAGGTTTTATGCATTGAAATTTGTATTATATTAAATTCTTATTCGAACTCAAACTTAAGTCCTACCAACGGTATAATAGTATGCTAACTGAGAGAATGTTTCAATAGAGATGATGCATTGCAATCTTGACTTTCATGTATTAACACCTATATATTTTGGCTAATGATTCATTTTCATCATATTAAATTAATGATTCTACTATCATTAATTTGGATTAAATGTTTTGAGCTAGTTGTTTAGATTTATCAAGCTAAAGAACTAGTTATCACAGTAAATCAACTAATTCTGTGCTGAACATCAAGTGCGAATAATATTTGAGCCTTACGAGGATGACAGAAGCACTATACCTGAAAAGATTTTAATTCTAGACTATATTTGAATCATAAGGGGAAAGTCGAATTAGTTGATAGGTTAAACTTAAACATTTAGAACTAATAATTCGTATCAAAGGGTATCAAAGGGTGAAGGTAAGATAAGATTGAGAGGGACATGTTAATGTATTCAAGCTAAAGTTAATTCAATAAAGCTTCTTCAATAATTATTCTTATTTTCTATCATTTTTATCATGGTATCAGAGCCACTTGCCTAAAGCAAGCTCTCTTCTCGATGTCGACTTATCTGTTGCTTCTCCACCTCCGGTGGCAAAAGAAAAAGCTTTCTACTATTGTTTTTCCGTCGTCAGGCCATCGGTGCGATAAATCTTTCCTTCTCGACGAAGGACAACTGTCTTCTCCACTTCCACTCTGCACCAATGTTCGTTCCCTTCCGCTGTGGCGTCTCTAGTGCTACGCTCACTAGCACTGCCCCACCTTTCCTCATTTGTTGTAGCCTTCTTCTCTATTATGGCATCGTTGTAGCTTCCTCGTCTTTTGCAGCTTCCTCCTCTGCTGTACCTCTATTGCAGCTTTCTCCTCTACTGCACCTCTGTTGTAGCTTCCTCCTCTTATAGCATCGCTGCAACATCGCTGCAACTTCCTCCTCTACTGTAGCTTATTCCTCTGCTACAGCATTGCTATAGCTTTTTCTATTACTGTAGCTTTCTCCTCTACTACAGTCGTCGCTGTCGCAGCTGCAACAACAACAACAACAGCAACGATCCGCTCTTGCCCTACTCACGAAGCCTTGGCTCATAAATCATTCTTTGCATCGATCCAAGATTCGTATTCAAGCTAAAGTTACTTCAATAAAACTTATTCAATAATTATTCTTATCTTCTATCATTTTTATCATATACTAAAAGATGAAGCAGTTTATCATATTACATTGTGAGAAACGATATCATATATATATAAAAAAAAAAACGTGGTATAAAATCTATCGAATATGCTTTACAAGGCTATCGAAGAATCTACAGTGCATGTTTCGCGAAAATCCAAACCCTACAGATCTTGTCAGCTTGCGATCCTCCTGACGCTAAAAGGATTCCTTATAATCTATATATTACTCCAACGAAAAGCAAGAAAAGTAAGTATCGCGAACAAGGGTTTGCAGCAGTCTATCTCAAGTATTGTGAGCAACAAAAGTAGAGCGAAGTTGGTGATAAGGTGAGCATGACGTTGATGTGAAAGGCTGTTATATCAATCAAAAAGAGAATACTCACAGTCAAGAGGGGAGGGAGCCGAGATTTCGTCTCGTGGGCGTGCAAGGAAAACGTGGCGAATCCAAGGAGATGGTTTATGGCCGTGAAAGGACGTCGCCCGCCATGGTTGAAGTTAATATGCTCCCGACGTCTCGGGCTCTATGAGTTGGTACCATCACTTGATTGCAGGAACCGCGCACTAAAGTTCGACGAAGCAAATCCATCAGACTCTCTTTATCTAATGAAAAAATAAATGTAAATATATATAATTAAATCATCCTATTACAATAATTGATATCAAAACAGCTTAAAACTATGAATGATGAAAAAATCAAATAGAAAACATGATGATAGGTCTGAATAAAAAGAAAGAATACCATAAATGAAAATGAACACACGTAACAATATTTTGTCAGGAGAATGTGAATTTACATTGACTTCAACTTAAAATTTATGCATTTTAACCCCGTGATTCCAACCTACTTTATGATTCCATCAATAGTATCTGCAAAACGAAGTCCCAACTACTACACTGATTTCATAGTGCTTTACAGGTTCACAGTGTCATTCACCATCATCACATAGTTCTCCATTCAGATTAGTATGTGGACGAGATCAAAACACAGAAGCAGAAGCATGTATGTTTACAGGGAGCTACTATTACTTTGCACACGACAAATCCCCGGGAGGCACCCCACCCCAACCTTACCGACACAGCAGCATCTGGAAGCATTGGGTTTGTTAAAATGTCACAATCTTGACCTGGAGATAATTTATAAATCTGCTATCCGCTGTTCATCGGTTCATTTCAGATGGAACTCAAATGAATAAGAAGAGAGAAAGCCATGTTCTGCCAAATCTCAGCTGTCAAATAAATGTTTACTATGATACTTTAAAAGGTTAGAATCTGTATATTTTGTTCTGTACTTAATAGAATCAGTAGTGAGAATTTAATATCTTTTCCACCAGAAGTTGACATTATCGAACAAAAACGAACCACGACTGGACCAGGAAAGACAGGGGAAAAATTAGTACTAATACTATCTAAAAATATGATATCAGAAAAGGAATCACAAGCTATGTAACATTGACGACCATAAAAGAGCCTATAAATACAGAACGAGCGGTAGAAGTACTTCCATACCTGAACAAGCATCGAATCTTCATTTACAGAAAATGCCTAGATCTGAGCACCTTGGTGTCCTAGAAAAAAACCAGCATCGTCTCATACTCAATTAAAATTGAAGAATGCAGAATCATGTAGTTCTAACAGCCAAATCAGAGAGACAGATCATAAGTAGTCTGTAAAGTTGCCACGTTTTATAAATGGTGGCCACATGGTTAAAGGACAGAAAACCATGAAATTATCCCCTAAATCAGCTAGAAGCATCAAAATAGTAATGCAAAGAAAAAAAGTGAACTAATTGGATGGCAAAAATACCAGCAATTTTCCTTGAGATGTCATTAAAGTTTGTTAAAAAAAGGAACATAAAAGAATTGATCTTTCAGCCTTCTTTCTTCTGCTAGACGTTCTCGACCTGTGCTGGAAATCAGATGAACCATAATGCTTTCATCTCCAATTCAGCATGTAGGCTCGAACTATGGTTGCTTATTTCTTGCACCACCGGTGGATTGACAACTGTAATCTGCACAAGATCACCGGATAACCAACCTTTCATTTCTCAATGCTCCTGACAGATGGCACACCAATGCATGCAGCAATGGACCATACAAGGTTGACATGGAGAGTTCTGCAATGATAATAATACACTAAAATAATCAAATATCACACAGTCAAAGCTAGAGACAAACAGAGAAGGGACATAACTAAGTGGAAGTACAACATACAAAAAAGCAGCATTCTGGCAATAAAAAATGCCCAATAGCACAGACATAATGAAAGACACAAAGGATGACCCCATTTTTTATAATTTATGGACCTTTTGCACATGTTAAGATTTGTTTCAT